CAAGAGTCTGAAGCTAGTTTTTTTTTAATTATATTTTATTGATTATGCTACTACAGTTGTCCTGATCTTTGCCTCTTTGCCCCCCTCCACCCAGTGCCCCCTACTCCTCAGGGCAATCTTCCCACCATTATTCTTGTCCATGGGTCTTGTGTGTAAGTTCTTTGGCTACTCCATTTCCTATACTATAGTTTACATCCCCATGGCTATTCTGTAAGTACATATTTGTACTTCTTTTTTTTTTTTAAATTGATTATGCTGTTACAGTTGTTCTATTCCCCCCTTCATTCCCCTCCACCCTGCCCCCCCATCCCCACCATTACCCCCCTTTAGTTTATGTCCATGTGTCTCAAGTCCTTTAGGTTCTATATTTCCCATGCTATTCTTGCCCCCCCATCTATTTTCTATCTACTGTCTATGCTACTTATTTTACGTACCTTCTCCCCCCATCTCCTCCTCCCACTCCCCTGTTGCTAACCCTCCTTGAGATCTTCATTTCTATGTTTCCACTCCTGATCTAGCTGTTCTTTTAGTTTGCTTTCGTTTTAGGTGTGGTTGTTAATAACTGTGAGCTTGTTGTTCTTTCACTGTTCATGTTTCTTTAACTTCTTTTCCTTAGATAAGTCCCTTTAACATTTCATATAATAAGGGCTTGGTGATGATGAACTCCTTGAATTTGGTCTTATCTGAGAAGCACCTTATCTGTCCTTCCATTCTAAATGAAAGTTTTGCTGGATAGAGCAATCTTGGTTGTAGGTCTTTAGATTTCATGACTTGGAATATTTCTTTCCAGCCCCTTCTTGCCTGTAAGGTCTCTTTTGAGAAATCTGCTGACAGTCTGATGGGGACTCCTTTGTAGGTGATTGTCCCCTTAGCTCTTGCTGCTTCTAGGATTCTCTCCTTCATTTTAATTTTGGCTAATGTAATTATGATATGCCTTGGTGTGTTTCTTCTTGAGTCCAACTTTTTTGGTACTCTCTGGGCTTCTTGGATTTCTTGGAAGTCTATTTCCTTTGCCAGATTGGGGAAATTTTCTTTTATTATTTGTTCAAATAGTTTTTCCACTGGTGGTTGTGTCTTTCCCCCTTCTGGTACCCCTATAATTCGGATATTGGAGCGTTTAAAGATGTCCTGGAGTTTCCTAAGTCTCTCCTCATTTCTTTGAATTCTTGCTCCTTGACTCTTTTCTGTTTGGCCATTATTTGCTTTCTTCTGGTCCACTCCATTGATTTGAGTCCCAGTTTCCTTTTCATCTCTATGGGTTTCCTGTGGAATTCCATTCATTTCCCTTAGTTTAGCCTTCATATGTTTCTCTAATTTGTGGCTATAATCAACCAGATCTGTGAGGATCCTGATGACCAGTGTTTTAAACTGTGCGTCTGAGAGTTTTGCTATTTCTTCGTCGCTTAGATTTATCTCTGGGGCTTTGAGGTCTTCCTGCGACATTTTTGGTCTGTTCTGGCCCTTTAAATGTGAGAAGCGGCGCCTTGGACTCCCAGGTCGCTGGGTTGTGACGCTGTATGTGGGGGCGTGGTCAGAGCGGGGAAATGGCGGCACCCTCTACTGCCGCATGCCACGGGGACCACTGGCCCGGTCCAACCGCCCACTCCCTCGCCTGTCCGCTCGCCTGCAGATAGGCAACCGCAGTCAACACGCAGCACCGCCTCCCCACTGTCTCCTCAGCAGTCGCTCACCCGGTGGGTTGCTCGGTCGCTCACTAGGTCCAATCCTGCGTTTGGAACCCGGTGCGTCTGGATTCGCGCGTCTGGATTCCGCGCCTGGGTCTGTCCGACCGGAGTCCTCCTGTGCAACCCCTCACGAGACGCCGGTTTCGCCCCTTACCGGTCGGGCTGAAGAATTTGTTGTTAACGGACTTCCGAAAAGTTCAATTTTCCGTGTTCTGGTTATGTTTTCTGATGCTAATATTTAGTTGTCCCTAAACTTGGTTGTGTGAGAAGGCACGGCACATCCACCTATACCTCCATCTTGGCGGAAGTCCATATTTGTACTTCTTAATCCCCTTCCCTCTTCACCCATTCTTCCCCTCTCCCCTCCTATCTGGCAACCTTGCAGTAACTAACTTCTCTTGCTTTTAAGAGTCTCTATCTTTAACCTTTGGCCTTTTAATAAAGATGTGTCTTAGAGTGGGCCTCTTTGCATCCATCATAATTGGGACTCTCTGTATTTCCTGGATTTGCATGTCTGTTTCCTTCACCAAATTAGGAAAGTTTTTTTTCACTGTTTTTTCAAATAGATTCCAGTTTCTTGCCCTTTCTGTTCTCTTTCTGGCACCTCTATGAGGCAAATGTTGGACTTCTTAAAGTTGTCCCAGAGGCTGTTAATGCTATCTTTATTTTTTGGGTTCTTTTTTCTTCTTGTTCTGCATGGTTGTTTTTTTGTTTCCTTATGATCCAAATCATTGGTTTGATTGTTGGCTTCATCCATTCTACTGTTGTTTCCCTGTAAATTGTTCTTTATTTCAATTAGTGCATCTTTCATTTCTGACTGGGTCTTTTTCATGCTGCTGAGGTCCTCACTAAATTCCTTGAGCATCCTTATAACCAGTGTTTTGAACTCTGCCTCTGAGAGATTGCTTATCTCCATTTCATTTAGCTCTTTTTCTGGAGTTTTGATCTGTTCTTTCATTTGAGCCATGTTTCTCTGTCTCCCTGTTTTGGCAACCTTCCTATGTTTGTTTATATGAATTAGGTAGAGCTGCCTTGACTCTGTGTCTTGGTAGTGTGGCCTAGTGTAGTAGGTGCCCTGTAGGGTCCAATGGCACAAACATCCCCTATCACCCAAGCTGGGTAGTCCAGGTGTGCCCTTTGTGGAGGCTGAGTACACCCTCCTCTTATAGTTGATCCTTGGTTGTTGTTGGCAGATCAATAGGAGGGATTACCCAGGCCAGTCAGGCGCAAGGACAGGCTCTGATCACTGACCACCAACCTCCACCCTTTGTGGAGGATCAGCCTCCATGCGTAGGGCAGGGGGGTGGTGCTCCGATGCGGTCTATAGCTATTACCTGAGTGTATTGGCCCTGGGGTTTCCTGGCGGGGGGCGTAGGCCAAGGTCAGCCCTCATCTGTGTTTTGCCTGGGGCACCCTGTCTGAGCTATAAAGCAACCTGAGATGGCTGCTACTTATTCTGGGTTTGGAGATTGCCAGCTGAAGCCAAGTTATTACTCTAATATGGCCACTGCTAAGACTCACTGAAGCCAGCTGTTGCTTGTTTGATAGGATTTAGGAGCCAAGACAAGCCATTTATATGGGAAAGCAGCTTGGGTGGGCCCATAAATTGGGTGGGGCAGAGCCTCCATGGATCTCCAAGGTGGGTCACACATTGTTAGGCAGGTTGATGCAGTCTCATGTGGCACCAGCCTACCAGCTCTATGGGAGGGAGGTCTCAGCAAAGGGACAATGACCCCTGCTTGCCCTGATGCCAGTCACTTCAGCCTCTTCCTATATACCACTGGTGCCTTTCAAGCTGCTTCCCCAGTGCTGGAGCTCAAAGAGAGTGAGTCTGAGTAGGTGAGTTCCCCAAAAGGGACTGCTTAGGGCTCCAGCAGCCTCCTCCACTGACTCAATCCCTGCTGGTTTTTCACAGCCAGAAATTGTCAGGACTTATTTCTTGGCACTGGAATACTGGGCTGGGGGGCCCTGTATGAATCTGTAACTCACTTCCTAGATATCCTTCCCAAATTTTTATCCACATGGATTTGGGGCCAGCTGGTTCTGCATCTGCACCCTTCCTACCCATCTGGATGGATGTAGTTTCTTCAATTCTATAGCTGTCAGACTTCCATTCAACTCGATCTCTGATGTTCCTGAGTGATGATTGTTCCATATTTTCGTTGTAATTTTGATGTGATTGTGTGAAGAGGCGGGCCATGTCTGCCTACATTGCTATCTTGACTGGAAGCCCACAGCTAGTCTTTAGGGGTCCTGGAAAGCCCGTTGTTTCCCAAGTATTCATAAAAATTATCCAGATTGGTGCAAATTGACCTTCTAGGGAAATCCAATGGTCCCATGGACTCACCTGGAGTAACAGGGCCCCTGGGAATCCACACACGTGTGCAGAGACCCTGTGGTTGCTGATCTGACGGGAAGATTCTTAACCCTCCCCAATAATGTCTCGCTCCATTTTTTAGGTGACTTCAAATCCTGTCACTAACATGTCACTTTTGGGAGTCAGCATTAATATACCTGGTTACCTCATTTAAAAAACGACTTCCTATCCCAACAATTACTCTACATTTTCAGTCATTAAGATCTTGCCCTGAAGTTAGTTCACCCACTGTTCCCCCCAGGTGGATTTGACCTGGCTTGGGTCAGAATGGGAGAAAGAGGGCAAAATCACGACTTTTCCAGAGTTCAGACCACTTGATCACACCCCCCACACACATGCCTAGCTACACCACAAAACATACACATTGAAATTTTGACTATTCCCTGGCAGCAAGGAAGGGAAATACCAAGTTGTGGCAGTTCTCTGGCTATAGAAGGTGATAGAAGATAAGAAGTAATAAAAGGGAACTTTTGCCCTGGCTGGTGTGGCTCACCATGAATATAACCACGAAGCCCCCCTGAGAACTATAGGTGGCTCGGTGGATTGAGCGCTGACCTGTGAACTGAAAGGTCAGCAGTTCGAGTCCTGGTCAGGGCACATGCCTGGATCGCAGGCCGATTCCTGGTTGACGGGGTGTGAGAGGCAACCAGCTGCTGTTTCTCTCACTCATTGACATTTTCTCTCCCTCCCTTTCTCACTCCCTTCCCCTGAAAACAAGTAAATAAAACCTTTAACCCCCCCAAAAAAGGACTTCTTTTACAATGACCTTTGTTTCATTTCCCCATGGTCCCAGAAATGGTTAATCCTCCTAAACAGGTAGGAGAAAATTTCTGCCTCCTATAAAGTTTGATTCCTGGAGGCAGCTTTTTTTTTAATCTAGCAAGTGTCAGATAATTGGAAGGGTGGAGTAACGCAGTAAACCATGACACACCTTTGTCAGGACTTGTCTGGAAGCAAAGAACTGGAAGAAACAAGGGGGAGAGAAGAAGAGAACATTTTTGAAAGATCACTCAGCTTTCACACATCTTGGCTGGGGCTGGATAAAAAAAGTGGGAACTGCAAACCTCTAGAAGGAAACATCAGAGAAAGAGAGAGGGGAGATTTATTCCAAGTTATTTCCTGCTCCTTCAAAATCTCTAACAAGGTAAGTAACAGGAAAAACTTGACCTTTCTCCCGTTTTGAGACTTTGATTTGAGGGTTGCCGTTTAGAACTTAAATGTTTGTTGGAGAAAATAAGATAAAGTTGTTGAATTCCAAGTGTTCTAGTGAAGTGGTTAACTGATCATAAATGATTACTCTGGTTTACCCATTCTGCTTAGGATAGATAGGTCTTTTAAAGGAATAACAGGAAAGATGCATCAATGGGAAAGAGAAGAAAATGGTTAATTAAGATAAACTGAGCTCTAGTGGCCAGATTTTAGGTATTATTTTCAGTATTATAAAATGGTAATTTCAGTATGGTAAAATGGTAAAGTTGTGTTATGGTATTTCATTTAGAATAGGATAAGAGTTTATAACATCTCCTCTCTCTCCCTCTGAGCCTCTCTTTCTCTCTGTCTCTGTCTTTCTCTCAATGCTCCCGCTTTCTCTGTGTCCCTCTCTCCCCTTGACAGCACAGTGAGGTGTAGGGAAGGGGGGCCTTCTAAAAGCAGCCCCTGAGCACTAAGTGTTGATGTGCTACCTAGACCTCGGTGCTGGCAGTTTCTGATTAAGCTCAAGAGGCTGGGTGAACATTGTTGTTTAGCTCGCTCTAAAATTACTGCTTTCTAATCTAAAGTAAAGGGAAATATCTGGAATGATATAATTAATCCAGGAATTTCCCGGAGGCAAATGTAGAACAAAGAAAGAAAAAATAAAACAAGAAAAGAAAATGTTGCAGGTGTCCACACTTTAACTGGCCAATTTGGCCCCACAGAATCATTTTGGGGTGAGAATTACCAGCTTTGGTGTTTCACTGTACCACATTTACTACTGACAAATTACCACTTCACTTTTTAAGTTACACGCAAAGCCACTGGCACATCACTTCTTTTGAGAAGCGGTTAATCAGTAGCCAAAAACTTGGATTCATTATGCCCACAAAATGTAGTAGGAGTTTATGAAGAGTTTCATTTGGAAAGCAGAGTTGTTCCTTCCACGTCTGCACAGCTCTCGCTCAGAGCTCAGCCGCAGAGCGCTGAGTCAGAACTGAACTAAGGCAGGCATCAGCCCCTTCAGAGCATCGGAGGAGCCTGCCCTGTTCTCAGGCCCTTCAAATACTCATGAAATTCTGAGCATGGAAAAAGCTAAAGGGGACAGTTCTGACTTAAGCTTAGACAGAAAATTCTTACTTTAGTAAAACTGATCAGGTCCTAAGAACTGACCTCATTCTCAGATGATACCTGAGCAAAAGAAATGTGTGTCTGCATGATTTGGCTCATTTGTTGTTACTAACAGCAGTAGGATTTAACCAAACATGGCTGCAAGTGAGTGGCATAAATCACAAAGGTGGTGCTCAAGCTTCCCCCATCCCAAGCTATGAAAATCAAGGATGCCAGATATTGCAGGTGGGCAAGCCCATTGATGGGGTGGAGACAAAACCTTCTGAGATGATCAACCCCAGGGCACTGGTTTTCTCTGCTGTCAAACTGCTCGGTCCTCCTGTGCTCACGCATCAATAGCTACTGGATGGGTTTTTTGCACTTTGGCCATTTTGTTGTTATTTTGTTTTAAAATGTGAAGTGTGCAGAGATTGGAGTAATAAAAGCTGTGAAAATACTTACGACACCTTAGCAGGGTATAGGAACATTTATTTTGAAAATAGAAAATACAAAGACACTTATCTTCTGTATTCCCTTCTTTGTATCAGAGACCGAGTGTTTAATGAGACGTTAGAACAAGATTAGGTCTCTGCCATGGTTTACTGCCGCCATCCTCGCTGGTGTGTGTGCTACACCCCGTCTCCACTGGACCAGTTTTAGGTGGATGTCACGTCATTTAAATGAAGTGGAAAGAAAAAACTCATAAAAAGTAGAAAAATGATTTTGAATTGCATTTTCTTGCATCAGAAAATGACACATGGGATCCTTTTTAACATCTTCAGTGGAGCATTAACTAGGAAATAACCATGAAGCCTCCGCTGAGAACCATGCATGGAAATTAGCATACTTTTGAAATTGAGAACTTGAATTATCTGCTCATCCTTAGTGCTAGTGAAGTAGCCCAAGCATCCAAGAAGTTAAAAATTATTCTGCTTGACTGTGCTTCCATTAAGTAGTGTTTTCAGAGGAGAGCACACTGGTGAACACTGCTGGGAAAGATCGGATCGGGCTCGTGCCTGGGCATGTAATTTCCTTTCCCTAATGTTAGTTATACTTTTTAAAACTATCAGCACTTAAAATGTTTTAAAAAAGAAGTCTTGTGGGAATACTGTAGGTCCCACAGGGTAATTCCAGCCTAGGTTTGTGCCTCCGCCCCTCATTTTCCATTTGATAACCCCCTTACAGAAAGTTTCCTTTCATATTGGTTTAAAGAAATTGATCTCCCAACACATTCCTGCCTCTTCACACTGTCAGTCTGGGAGAGAACCTCAGCAAAGTCAACAGAGCTCCATCCTGTACTTCTCAGGCCCAAGAAAGCACCCAGCTTGGTCTGAGACACATTTGAGGGGCTTCAGGCTGAGGGAGAGGCAAGGGGCTATCTACTTACACCCACCTAGGGCACGTTCCATCCCAGGGTACCTGCCAGTAAGGAGCCCCCAGTCCCTGGACAAGGGCATCTGATTTCTTAGCAGGCTGTCTCTGTGCCCTCTGGAAAGCAGGAAATGCTTGGCTTTTTGTTACAGATCTCAAGGCTCCATAATTAGGGTTTAAGAAGATGGAGGGGTTCAGAAATGTCTGTTATTTTTCTGGGTATAGGAAGAACAAGAAAACACTTGCCAGTTTTGCTGCTGGGACACTTCAAATCTTACCAAAGGGAGCCTTTATCAGCCTGCCTTGATGGCTACAGGTGGGATAAACTCATCTGATCCCAAATGTATAGCTGCCAGCAGCAACTTTCATTAAAGGATCAAAATAAGCAATAATTTTGGGGAAGTAAAAGTTTCCATGGATTGTTACAAACAGTTCCTACCAGGATAATATTTTATGTCAGTTCAGGTGCCTTCCTAGGTGCACCTATGGGCAACCAGGTGCATCTGAAGGTTTACTCGCTAAGATGCCTCCTAGTTCATAGTTAATGACCAATTTTTAAAAATGGGGAGGGACTTCAGGGGTACCAAGGCAATTAATGCTTCAACAAAAAATTTCAAAGAGAGTGTCTGGTTGTGTGTAGGCCGACATGGCATTAACCATGCAGGTTGTTACTGGAACACAGGCAGTCCCAGGTCACATTTAGCCTTCCGATGAGGCTAGACTCCCTTATTAAACTGTTTACGGAGCTCTCTCCTCTTGGCTCTGAAACACATACCTGCAAAAAGGCCTTCTGTGGTTTCTGAGATCCACCTAAGAGTTTTCCATGATGCCTCATTCCTTGCCTAGAGCTAGGTTTAAAAAACTTCAACAACCAGGAAGTTGGCACTTCAACCAGGCTCTGAAGCTAACTGTGCCAGCTTTGGTTAATTCTACTGGGTATTTGACCAGCTGGTCTTATGTAGTCTTGCTTTTCAAGCAGGGAAATTACTCAGGACTATATTATGACTTTCATGGGCCCTCAACACTGTTGACTTTGGGATCCCCTTTCTCCATTAAAAAAAAAAAGAAACTTTTAAAATTTGTATTTATTTTATAACTGCATTCAAAGAAGGTAAGCCAGGTTGGATTGTGTCCATTTTCCTTCTGATTTTACTTTTTTGGACACCTGAAAGTATGATGGTATTAGGCACTGAAGTCACCAGGCAAGAAAAAAGCTCGGAAGAAGAGATTTCCAACTATGGTTGTCCTGAGCAGAAGTAGCTTGCCCCAGAGTGCTAGAACCCAATTCGAACTTCATCCCAAAAATAACCTCAGAGGAAGGGAAGGTTGGGGGGTGGGGCAGTTGGAGGAAGAGGACTAAAGGGAAAATCAGATTGTAAGTCCTTCCAGAACCTGAGACAGGCGCCCACAGTCAAAAGAGCCCAGTTGGGCTGTACGGTCCTGTGCCTTTAGGCCTGAGCCCCATCCGCAGCCCCCCTGTGATGTCAGCCCTGCCTCATCCCATCCACACTCCAGGACACAACGGACAAGATCTCAATGACTTTCCTTCCCAGAAGCACAGTAAGCATGAGGGGAGGACATAGCCAACATCTATGAATAGGTGTTTCCTACATATTTCAATAGATTTTACACATATTTTCTTCATCTATTTTTTTCCATTTATGTCTGCAAAGGAGCACTCTAGGGCTGGTTAGCTCTGAAGAGAAAGTTTTGAATTGTTAAAAATATAAAGTTCCATACAAGTATGACCACTGTAATCATTTTTATCCTGATTTCAATCCTGATTTCAATCCACTAAACACCACTCTCACGTCTGGACTCTAAATAATAAAGCATAAATGGCATATATTCAAAGAGCTCCATACAGAACACTGAACATCCTGGGGTACATCAAAATAAGTTAGCTGAAAGCACCAGGTGCTTTGACAGGTAGCTATCCTTCAGCCATTTGTTGCTTTGGCAAAGAATGGAGGTTTTATGGTCAAGGTTAGGGCAGCCCCTCTTCTATGTAAACCCTTTAATGCCCAGCAGGGGGGCAGGGAGCCTGCTCACATACATCCTGAAAAATAAGATCTCAGTACAAGGAATAGAATCTAAATTGGAACTATGAGACTATTCTCCATTTTAACTAATACAAGTGGTAGGATGACTCATAAAGAACATGCACATGAAAGAATTGTGCTTTGAATTCCAGGAATCAAGTTTCAGGTTCTCAGCTTGAATAATAGGAATCTATGCTTTTGAAAAGTGAAGGCAAGGGGCATAGTTTTTTATGGTTTCTGGCTTTTTCCACAGGTGGCTATGGTATGGACGTGACCAAGAAAAACAAGCGAGAAGGCACTGAAGTCACCGAAAGAAGTAAGAACACGATATATATGTCACTATCAAAGTAATAAATATATGGAAAGAGTAAATAATTCATCCCTAATCCCACCATAACTACTGTATCATTTTTTCTGTTTTTTAACTTTTTTGCTTTTGTTTTTAAGGGTTTTTTACTTGCTTTTTAAAGGACTGTATCATTTTAAAGGTATTCCTAAAAAGGCTTTATTTCTTCCCATAGGGTGACTTTTGTTGACTTTTATTTTAATATACTCATAATCAAAATGTATTCTTTTTCTTCAAAAGTGAAAACTGCCACAATAGCATAAATAATAAAATACTTAAATTAAAAATATGAAAACTGCCACTTAAATATATAGTGTTTATAACCAGCATTTTTTTAAATTTTAATTTATTTATTTTTAGAGAGGAAGGGAAAGACAGAAATATCAATGTATGGTTGCCTTCTCGTGAGTCCCCTGCTGGGAACTGGCCTGCAGCCCAGGCATGTGCCCTGACTGGGAATCGAACCACAATTCTTTGGTTCGCAGGCCCGCACTCAATCCACTGAGCTACACCAGCCAGGGCTATAACCAGCATTTTTAATGGTTGATATAACATTCTCTTGAACAAATTTTCTATCGTGTATTTAACCATTTTCTTTTTTAGGGATATAGTGCAACAGAAAACCAAAAAATCAATAGCCCCATTATTGAAGGGACAAAGTTGGAATAACAATAGTGTCACGGTTGCAATCTACACTGAAAATTGAAAACAGACACATTTCTTTCATGGAACTGCCTAAATAACTTCAAAGACATTTAAACTATCCTCTTAGCAGCTCTAACTCTCGCTCATCCTGTGACTTTCATACGCCTCCAACAAAAAAATTCTGGCTCCACAGACTTAGAACTTTAGGTTAAATAACAGTTTCTCCTTATGTGTCAAAGAATCCCAAAAGTCCACGCACTGAGAGTTCAGTGAAAGCTCAAAGCTATTATTCGAATCAAGCTACCACTGTGATCTGAAAAGCCACTTCCCTCTGTGCATGCTGTGCTGATTCCACCGTATTCCCCAATCCCTGCTTCTGCAGCACAGCCAAGCTTGTCGGGGAAACGCGGTCTGAGGACAGAAAGGGCCAGGGGCTGCCAGTAGGACTGGCATGGGCTCAGCATTTGTGAGCAGCACAGCTTTGAGTGGCATGAAAAGATCTCTCACCATCTTCCATCTTTTCCCCTTCACCCCCAGCCCATAGCCACATGCATGCGCACACCACACACACGTATACATGGGCTTGCACACTGTGCATGATACACACACAGAAAGCTAGATAGGTGTCCTTTAGGTCCATCACCGAGGTAGGTAGTGATGAGGCATGGTGAGGGTCAGAGTACAAAATTGGCCCCACTATGGTTTGGGGACTCTATGCCCTTTCCCATGTAGCCACAGGGGAGAGGGTGACTTAGGAAGACATGATTTTTCTTCTGTTGTTTAAAAATAACACTAACAACAACTCCATTGGCTTCTGTGACCTCCATAGACTCACCATCTCTTGGAGTCTTGAGAAACTCAGTTTCGGGAGGCAAAGGGACTGTTTCTTCAAGTCTGTCTTTGATGTTCATCTATTCCCAATTGCACCAAACACCAAATGTGACTTCCCACCCCCTGTTTCTTCCTGTATCTCGTCACACTCAGAAATGGCCCTGCAGATTTTAGAATGAATTACGATGCCCTTGAAACACCCCCAGATTCATTTTAAAAAGTCAAGGTAATTATCCACTTCACAGTGAAACCAGCCAGGATGATGCCCTGGCCCCAGCTGAACTGGGTGACTGTTTGGAAGGGGCAGTGCAGAGGGAGAGTGTGACGTGAGGTACCTGAGAATGACTGGAGGTCTTGATCCTTCTTCAAAGGCAAATCCAGGCCTGGATTGGATCTATTTGTTAAAGGATTGACATTGAAGCCAAGACAACTTATTTTTAAAATCTGAGTAGCTGCCTCCTTTGGGTTCCAAAGGGACATAAACTTGTTTTCCAGGCACATTAAGCCCCACTGTTATCGCACATATTTCCATGTGCAGTGAGGCAGATCACACACCTTACCACACAGTATACATATATCTCCATCGAAGCTAATTTACTGCACCTATGGCAGATATGAGACTTTGCCAAAATACAGGGCTTTCAGTGCATTACATGAGATCTCATCTTTTCCTTGTCTTTTTCAGTTGTCACCGAAACAGTAACTACAAGACTTACATCCTTACCGCCAAGTAAGTGACAATCTCCAGAGCCTTCTTCTCAGGGAGTCGTGTGTGAAGGACACTGCATGCAACCTTTCCCAGGGGCCCCCATACTCCAGTAGAACAAACCCAAAATATCTGAAATCTCTTTTTTCTTTACAGTTAAGATGACATCAATTTATATACCGTAAAACCCACCAGTTAGATGTGTGTAATTCAATGGTTGTTAGTTTATTTGCAGAGTTGTGCAGCCTTCCCAAGAAATCGAATTTTAAAACATTTTCATCACACCCAAAAGAAACCTCATGGCCACTAGTAGTCACTCCCCATTCTCCCCTCCTCCCCAGCCCCTGAAAGCCTCAAATCTACTTTCAGTCTCTATAGATTTGCCTGATCTGGACACTAAAATGTTGAAATTCTCATGCAGCCTGAACATGGGTGGGAGTAGGGAACCACCAGGGAAGGAGGCTTCTGTTTGAGTCCACATTCCCCTCAAGAGGTCCTTATGTTTAGTGGATTCAGTAACAGAGATCTGAGCCCTGATGTAAGTCCTGCCCCTCCCAGGAAGCCCAGCACACGGTGGAGGGGGGAGGTGTGTGGAAATCCCACCCATCAGCACTTAAGGCTGGAGCATGACAGGCTGCCAGACAGAACACCAGCGGCACAGAGCTGTCACTCATTTCTCCAAAACTTCTAGGGGCTGCCAGAGCTGGGGCACTGACCAGGTCTTTGAAAACAGCAAGCCCAACCCAGGTCCCAGGCTCAAGGAGCTTTTCATTACTCACTACCTTTTTTAATATTTAAAGTTTCCTAATAAACAACCTGCTATACTTCCCCCAGAAGCTGTTCCTTTTAAATCGAGTGGAAGAGTTGCTGTAGACATTTGTAACTGAGGCAAACAAAATGGGAGCCTGGCAGCTTGCACTGTGGAAGAGAAAGGGAGCCATACCAAGGGGATCGTGGTTAAGAAGCCTGGGAAGGCTTCCTGGGGCAAGGGATGACTCCACCCATAAGTTGTCACCTCCTCTTTGTTTCTGCAGAAGGGGGGACCAGCAATGGCTATGCTAAAACAGGCTCTCTCAGTGGAGGGAGCAGCAGGCTGGAGAAGCAGAGCCTGACCCATGGCAGTAGCGGCTACTTGAACTCCAGTAAGTGCCTGCAGCTGGGAGGGTTTGGGGACGAGCAGACAGGGGGAGAGAGAGTCCAGCAAGGCGAGGGACAAAACTGTCATCCATCCACATGACCCAAAGGGCTGTGTAAATGACACAGAACCCAGGAAAGGTGAGACTTTCAAATCATCTGCATTTGATACCGACTTAAAGTGGGATCAGTTTTCACTGGTTCCCTAATATAAGTACCATAATTAATTAAGGAGGGCTTCATGAGGAGGTGCCTCCTTTCCCACTGAATCACTCGTGTTAAGCTATCTCTTTTAGAGAAGGGCATGCACATCTTAGGGTTTACAATTTCAATGAACAACAACTAAAGAAACTGAAGGATTGGCTCACTGTGTGCAGGGAATCTGATCCCACACTGCGTGAGTTTCCACTGGGCAAGCATCCAACACAGGGCCATTGTTCCACATGAAATGTTCTTTGAGGTTAGCTTGCACACTGAAATAAAACAAAACAAAGCAAGGGGAAAAAACAAGCACACACATAACCCATGAAGCCATTTAAGAAAGAGAAGAGGAAGACCCAAGACTGACCAAAGGTCAGGTTGACCAAGAGAAGTACCTGTCCTCATCTGTTGAGGAACCTTCCACACTGGATTCTGCTCTAGTCTCTCCAGCAGCTCCCATTAAAAGCCAGGTCCTTGAGAATAGTCCTATTGGAGTCCCTCCATTACTATACACGGCAGCCCAGTGCATCAAGGACCCCTGCCTCCCAGTGGTCAGCTTGGGGGAAAAGGGTGGGAACAGTAATGCCACCACCATTCCTGAGCAGCCAAGGAAATGCTCGGGTGAACCCTTTCAGGCTGACACCCTCTGGACCCTCCAGAGGACCCCTTTCATTATGAGCAGCCTGGTGTACTCAGTTAACATAAGAGATAGCAATCTGCTCAAGTGCTGTGAGGACTGATGTTTCTCTCCACTTGCAGCTGGAAGCACCCGGGGCAATACCACCACCTCCAGTTACAGGAGGGCTCATTCCCCTGCCTCCACCCTACCCAACTCACCAGGCTCAACCTTCGAAAGGAAAACTCGCATCACCCGCCATGGAACATATGAAGGTATCCATCCCACAGGCTTTGCTCCCTCACATTTCTCTCCGCTCTTCCTTTGTTTCTTTTAAGGACTCACATTACTTGGAGATTTAGATGATCTACCCACCCCTTCCTTCATTCACTCATTTAGCCACTTTCTCATGTGGTTATTTTATGTATTTGATACCACACAGAATGCCTTCATGGCCGCTTAAATGAATCAGACAGGGAGCCTGTCTTCAGGGAGCCTATAGTCTAAATAGACAAGTTAAAACAACAGATAAAAACTATAATGCAAAATATAAGGGGGTTATCATCTCTGGCTGAGTTTCCAGGGAAGAGTCTAGGGGGGGAGGTAACATCTGAGAAGGGCCTTCACAATGTATAAGATTTTGATACCCAGGTGTGGAGAGATGGGGTGCTCCAGGCTGTGGGGGTAGCAGCACAGCAAAGACAGGCAGGAGAGGTGGGACCTAAGTAGCAAGCAGCAGTGGTGCTTAGGTAAGAGGGCTTGAGGGACTCAACATCAGTGCTAGGCTAAGACGTTTGGACTTGACTCTGCATATAGTGATAAGCTGCAGTGATTTTTGACCAAAAGGGTCAGTTGGTCATATCTGAGGTCCAGGACTAGCACTCTGGACAGCCATGTGCAGGAAGAGGTTGAACATGATGACCAGTTAGACTGTGCTCCATTGTCCAGGAAGGGAGAACTTGGCGGGACAAGGATGGTGGCAGTGGGAGAGGGCTGGAGGAGTTGGAGGGAAAAGAGATTGCAGAGGGGGAGTTGACAGGTTTGATGATTGATTAAATGTTGAGAAAAAGGGGTGTCAACAGTTCAGAAATAGCAGAATTAAAATCAATGAATCACTAAAACAGTAACTAGTCCAAGTTTATTGAGTGCATACCACAAAGACAGTTTGCAGACTGGGAGCACTCAAAAAAAAAAAAAAAAACACAGAATGAGGTTCCAGGGTATATTGTTACATAGCAGCTCAGGTATTCTTCATGGTAACTGGTTATATTATTAGACTTTTCTTCAGTGATAGGGAACTGGTCAGCTCCCTGGTCATATTAACCTTGGGCAACAGTTTAAGTTTTGCTTATGATTTTCAGAGGCATAAGCCAGAAGCGACTCAAGTTATCTTGCAAAATCAGCTAAATTAAGCTTTGCTTGAGTGACTCAACTGGTTATGTCTGCTCAGGGAACTTTTAAGGCCGGTCTCCATTTGTTTTTGATTTTCACAGGAGAAAAAGGAGTTAGTGATTCTGCTGAGATTTGAAACACAGGTGATTGGGTTCACGTTGGCGCCAACCAGAGCATCAGGGAGCCTGTGTGGATGAGCTCAGTTATTTGGTCCTTAAATACAGCTGCTGGTGTGGTTTTTGGGAGGGAGAACCAAGTGGGTATTGGGACTCATAGGACCTGAGCTTGGGGAAGAAGTCGAGGCCAGATACTCCATCTGGAGTCATTAGTAGGAGGTGGAAAACTGAAGAAGCTGGCCTAGGAAGAGAGTAAAGCAGAAGAGAACAAAGCAAGATAAATTGGGGGAAGAAGGAGAAAAAAGAGCCTGAGGACACAGAGGAAGAAGAGTCTTTGAGGGGAGCCCAGGAACAGGCTGTGTCACTGAAGTCAGCACAAGAATGGGCTCAGGGTCACAAGGAGAAGGCAGGAGGCAGGTTATGGGAGCTGCTGGTGATCTGAACAGGAGGTAGTTTCAGTGTGAAACAGACTAGCCAGGCAGCAAGTGGGGCCCATAGTGACTGGAGAAGTAGGGTTAGGGATGGGTACCCCCAGTAAGGGATTTAAGACCCAGAACAGCCAGGCAGCTTTGAGGAGACCCAAATCCAGGTGAGGAGGGCCGTATCACCACAACACTTTCTGATGTTAGGTCTGCGTGGGGACTGGTACCTCCATTTTAACAGGATCCACACCTGGGATGGCCTTCACAAGATCAGAGACACCCTCGTGCAAACAGCATATTCACTCAACCAGGGCCAGTCCACCTGCACCAGCACGTGCAGCACTTACATAGGCAAACAGCTGAGGAATTAAAAAGAAAGAAACCCTGCCCCCTCCCCTCCTTTGTGCAAACCTTGCCCCCACTGAAGTAGATCAGGGACCAGACTGAAGGCCACAGCTACATCCAATAGGCAAAGAGGATTTAAACTGGAAGCCTGCTGAAGAGCACCTGTCATCCTCAGAAAGGAGGGACCCAGCACCACCCTCTCGAAAGCTGTTTGGCTTCAAGTGATCATTGGCAGAGGCAGACCTCAGAGATGTTGCAGGTTCAGTTCCAGGCCACCACAATGAAGCAATAAAGAGAGTTGTAGTCTTTTCAATGGTGGAGAATCTCAGTTTGTAGAAAATGCAACACCTGTGGAGCACTGTAAAGCAAGGTGTGCCGACACTGAGAGCTTTATCCTCTTTCCAGGGAGCTCCAGTGGCAACTCTTCTCCAGAGTATCCTCGGAAGGAATTAGGTATGTGCTTTCCTTATTTTCTGAAGAGCCAGTCAAAGGAGGCCCTGGGAAAGTGCCTGGGGTACAGGAGGAGGGAGCATCGTGAATTAAATGGATTCTTCTGAAAGAGTTTAACCTCTGCTGACTTATTTTTCTTTTGCTTTTCATCCTGAAACATTTAAGGGGACTGTCAACCACAGTAATTTGCCATCATAGCCTTTGCTCATGAGGCTTCTGAAACAGCAAGCTATTCATACAAGGCTCAGGCTTAGATAGATAAGCCCTAAGGCCAAGCAACTTTCACCATAGTGGTTTCAAAGGGGCATGTATTATGCTGAGTGAAACCCAAGTATCTTCCCTTGGCCTTAAGTTTTCTGTCCATGTTCTTAGATTCTCACTCTGCATATGGATTGATGACATGATCATTGCTTGTACAGTAGTTATAGTTTTATTTACTTACTTTCAGTGGGAAAACCATAGCAATCTCTAATAACAACAATAACAAACAAAGAAAAACTACAGGAAAGATCTGGCTGTCTTTTGATACATTTAATGAGTATGTAGTCAGCCAGTCCAAATGGATCATGCTCCCAAAGGGACTGCCTCAGCTAACTTAACACTCTAAGCATGAGCTAACTTAACATTCATTTATCTATCTCAGCACTCTAAATGCACTGGGGCCTTGCAAAGCTTTCCCTGCCTTTTAGCTATGTGGTCATCATTTATTAAGTACCCACTAGCCATAAGGAATCCTACTGGGAAAAAACATACTGTGAAAACAAACTGCTCCCCCCATCCAAATAGATCTACCCCCATGTCAAAAATATTTAGCAGGCCACCTCTTACATGTGCTCAAGATAACTTTTCTTTGTTTCTCAGCATCTTCTTCAACCAGAGGACGAAGCCAAACACGAGGTGAGCTCTATCTCTGGGTTTGATTCAGTTCCTTCAACGAGTATTTTCTGAGCATCTAATGCGTGTCCAACCTTGAGCCAGGAAATGGGAATGAGTGCAGATGAATAAATAAGGCACAGTTCTGCCCTCCAGGAGCCTACGGCCTCCTGGGAACCTTCCACTGGCTCTACCAGGATGGGAAAGGTAGATTTGAGGGCAGTCTAACAAACACGTGAGGCAGGAATGCAGACGCGTGGTAACCACCCAGGCAGTAGTTGGTTCTGCTGTGTGTGGATTGTCTGAAGACTCTGGTGCTCCATCTTGTTTCACTTCTAATCTCCTGGTTGACTCTATCAAGATGTGCTATGGTTGCCTTTATGCATCCAAACTGAGCAAAAGCTCCGCTCTTCCCAATTATTCCAGGGGACAAAGGGCTCTGTGACAGTTTTGCACTCTCCATGTCTGCTGATGGGTAGGGTTATAGGAGACAAATGTGGTCCCAGGGAAAGCTGCCCTGATGAATCTGATGAGGAGCAGGTGTCAGGCCCGTGCAAAAGGCAAAATACTTCTCAAGCCCCAGGAGTTCTCCATGACCAGCCTAGACTTCCTACGAACCTTATTGCCCCAGTGACTTTAAAGTTAGGAATGTACAAACCACCCACAGCTTTAGGCTGATAGTTGAAAGATGACAGTCTTCCGTCTGAAACTAATAACATTAAACTACCTACACTCTGCCCTTTTCATTTCTGAAGAGGCCAAAATGGCTAAGTAAACACTATAAGGTTTTAGAATTCTCTCACTACTACCTGAGAGACCCTGGAGGCAGGAAGCAGCTTAGTTCTGGCAGTTGGGAAATGAGTGATTGGAAAGGGGCTGGCCATGGATGATTGTGATGGAGCCCACCCTGTTTGGCCTGGGGTTCTTCATCAGGACGTCTCCAGGTGGCTGGAGGTGTGCAGTGGGCAGGGTAGGGTGTAGGGAGAGGACGTCTGCTTTTGAGCAGTACTCATCCTGAGTACTCAGAGCTCAGTGTCAGGCACTGTGACCCGAGTTCCTTCACTCACAGCCTTCTCCGTGTCTCCTCTTGTACAGAGAGTGAAATCCGAGTGCGACTGCAGAGTGCGTCCCCATCAACCCGATGTAAGTGGTCACTGTCTTGCTGAAAAGAAAGGATCTGGGAACCCAGGGTTCTGTGTATATGTGTTCAGTCACTCAATCAGTAAATGTTTCTAAGGGCCTTTGTGAGAGGCACCCTGGGCTGGGTGCAGGGGGTAAGGAGCTCAGTAAGTCACCATCCCTTCTAGTTCATCATTCACAGACTTAAGGGGGACAGAGTCAACAACCAACCATGACAGCTCAGGGAGTGAGGGAGCCAGGGTCCTGGGAAGCCTTCCTGGGTTGGTGTCTGAAGGGCGGATCAGTCAGGCTCCACAGGATGAGCCAGCAGAGACATAGGAGGAACCCATGTTGAGACTCTGGAGAAACGCTACATGTGGCTAAAGGAAAAGCAGCAGGAGGAGACCTAATGGGATCATTAAAATTAGGAAATGTCAGAAGTAGAGGGAGAGAGTTTTAACTCGACCTCAAATGTCAGGGATTCCCCAGTCTCGGTCTGCTGACTGTGTTAGATTTCTGTTGTTCTTGTTGAAGGTTACATGACATTTTGAAATGAGCCCAACTGTTAGGAAGGAAGCCAAGTACAAAGAGTAGGAGGAGAAAGAGCTGGGTGGGTGGCTCAGGAATCAGAGATGGGCACTTGCCCAAAGAGCTCACTCAGTGCCTGGGGTCATGGGGTCTCACCCTAGGCCCGAGGATGCTGTCTCCCTTGAGCACTTCCAGGCTTAGGGTTGCCGAGTCCAAAGGATAGGGATCTCAGGGAAAGGGTCCCAGGCAGTCCTCCAGCACTAGCTGGCTGTGAATCTTTTGGTCTCCTCTTATGCATTGCCCTTGCACCATGCTTCCCTCCTCGCCTCCCTCCTGTCCTGTTTGCCACGTGGGAGGCACAGGGAGTCTGCTCCACGATGTCACCTAGGTACAAATAATATCGGCCAGACAGCCTTGAAATTAACTCACAAAGCAGCATAATGTTTAGGAGTGGGCCACAGATTCCTTTGACACTACAGAGCATACAAGGTCAGGGACCCAACACCTGAGGTGTCCTGTGCAGGGGTTAAAATCACGATTGAACCATTTGTTTCAAGGGGCCTGGTTCTCTCACTGCCCTGGGTGTAAATTTCCCTTGATCCAGAATGACAGTGTCTTCCAGTCACAGAGTCATCCTGTGGTGTCTGATGAGGTATAATTATGAAATGTCTACCGACGTCTTTGACCTCCATGTAGAGGCACTAGATTTATGAGGCCATTAATATTACAAAGTGCCAGGTTATTAAGTGCTATAAATTGACAAAATGTAAAAGTCATAAGGCTAACCAAAAATGTCCCAGCATGTGAAGCAGATGCCACCCTCCCTCATATTCAGAATGCCATAAATGTAACTCCCACCGCACTTGGACTCTGGAAAAAATCCTGGGCCCAATGAAAACTGTGAGGAATGCTTTTACAGGGACAGAACTGGATGAAGTTAAACGTTTGCTCAAGGGGAGCCGATCGGCAAGTGTGAGCCCCACCCGGAATGCCTCCAGCACACTCCCCATCCCTAAGAAAGGCACCGTGGAGACCAAAACCGTGACAGCGAGCTCCCATTCAGGTAAGCCCCACAGCCCAGGGCTGCCATTGAGGGAAGGGAGCAAGGTGGCATATCTGTGCTGGCCCAGGAACTCAGCTGTACCCTGGCAGGCCTTTCCAGCTGTGGCAAAGCACTGCCCTTTATGCAGCATGAAAATGTGGGCTGTGCCCTTCTTACGCCCCTCTGGTCGGCCATCCCATGTGCAGCCTGGAATCGGGCTCTATATCCTACAGAGTCTCTCCCAGAGGTTCTTGACATCTCCGGGGAATGTGCTGGCCAGGCTCCCCAAGTGAAGACTGTTGGGAAAAGTTGTCGTGTTTTTGCTCATTCATTAAGTGAATGTTTGTTATGAGCCTCTTCCATGCCAAGCACCAGGCACTGAGGAAAGGCAATGAACAAGGTAGACACAGCCACTGCCCTCGTGGAGGTGAGGGCCTCTAGAGGGAGTCAGACAACCAAGAGATCGCAGTGAGGTCAGATGAGTGTTCAACGTTCATCTGTCCGTGCCTACCAGGTATAAGGTAGTCTCTGTGGGAGGCACAAAGAGGAATAAGAAGGTTCTTGGGGGGAGGTGAGGAAAGAAGCTTTCCTGTCATTTGCTACTACAAACAGACCCTGAGATTATGATCTTCCTTTTTTTTAATACAAAACCATAACCTCAGAGCACGTTATGACCTGTGTGGCCAGCTCCATCTCGTATGAGGAGTAGGCAGAATTGGCCTCAGGTTTGAAGAAGCACCAAAACCTTCTCTTGGGGACAGAATGCCCCTTGGGTCTCATTGGCAAGGAGAGTTGAAGCAGAGATGGCTGCCATCCGTGTGGTGTGGCCCCGGAAGTGATGTCTCCCTACCGGTGCCGGCTGTGTGCCTAGAATTTTACTGTTGGCATTCGCTGTGGAGCCTCATTGGCTGCGGGGTCTCATTCGCTGCACCCCTGTATCTCTGAAGATGGAGACAGAAACAAATAGAGAGTGAGAGCACTGGTAGGGACAGCACACCAGGAGGTGGGGAGGGGGACTTAGAAGGAGAAATGGGTGACCCCATAGCAAAAGTACCTACTTTAGATTTCATCAAGAGCTAACAAGAACTTCTAAACCAAGAGATCAAGTTTGTACCAGCTCTGAGGTTCCAGACAGAAGTGGGGTGGCGAAGGACCCTGGTTTGGCCAGAACGTTGCCTCGATGTGGGATTTTCAGGGCTAAACCAGGAAAGTCCCAGCAAACCTAGCCAGCTGGGCCGCCCTAGCACACAGTGCTGCTTTGTCTCTCACTGGGGTGTGTGTGTCTGTATGTTTCCAGTGTCTGGCACCTACGACACAGCCATCCTGGATGCCAACCTCCCCTCCCACATGTGGTCCTCCACCTTACCGGCGGGGTCCTCCATGGGGACCTATCACAACAACATGGCAGCCCACAGCTCGTCCCTCCTCAACACCAACGCCTATTCCACAGGGTCAGGTATGTGACGTACAGAGTGCACCCACTCCCACCTCTGAGCCCACCACTCTCTCACCCGAGTGACCTGCTGGCACATGCTATCCCCACAGCTTCCTAGGAAGGCTTTCTGTGGCCAAACATCCAAAGGTGTTTCCACTGGAACTTCAGTTCAGTTCAATCTCTAAGGTGTTTCTTTTGGTGGGTCCCCATAGAAGTGCATCAGGAAAAAAAGAATGGGAAAGAACATGACAATAGATGCAAGGAACCTACTTTCACTTGATGTGGATGAGCTGTGATCTTGAGCAAGTTATTTAACTTCTCTGGATTTCAAGTTTCTTTTCTGTAAAATGGTAACTAACAAGTAAGGCTTTGGCCAGAGCCAGTGTCCACACCAGACCCGACCAACCTATGACCAACCCTTGGCTACAATCTAAGGCACCACAGAGAGAACCTAAGATTTTCCCAACAACAAATTTAACAAAATACGAAAATGCAACCCTGGCATTTCTTCTGGAGCTCCTGTGGCACCCCCCCCCCATCCTGGACTGGACGTCCCTCTCACCAGCCTTCCTCTTCCCCTGCAGTATTCGGAGTTCCCAACAACATGGCGTCCTGCTCCCCGACTCTGCACCCTGGAATCAGCACTGGCTCAGGTCAGAGCTCGCCCACTTCAGCCACCTTTTCCCAGTGGTTTGCTCTAAAAAAATATCAAAATAGGGGTGTTCCTTCCTGGTGAGAAAAATCTAATGGTTTCTAGAGAAGACGTCCTTTCTGCCCAGAGCACGAGGACGTTCCTGCTTACACTGTATGCCAGGTAGTTGCCCGGGGGCTGCGGTAGAAGGCACAGAGCCCGACCCCTCCATCAGAGACCCAGCTCAGTCCCCAAAGGAGAAGCCTAAGGGCGGGAGGGGAAGGGGGCAGGGGGGCCAGAGATCTCACTTATATATTTTCTCTGTGAGGCTTGGCTTAGGACATTCCAGGTAAAGAGCATTGTTAAGTCAGAAGGTTCTTACTTCAGATCTTTTTATAAATACAGTAGTTCACTGAAAGCTCAAATTTATTCACTCTATTTCCACATACATTGCAACTGCCTGGATGTAAGTTACCAGCCACATCTTTTTTTTTTTTTTTTGAAGGAATGTGCCTTCTCCCTGCGATATCATGACTAGTAAATATAGTGATGTGAGCCTCCTTATTTACTTGGCTGGCATATTTCCAAGTGCAAATTAAGCGTTCTGATTTTCAGTACCTCTAATTGACTAGCATCCCACCAAACCCAGAAGACATCTGGTTTATCTTCATTTCCTCTGCCTCTGCTTCTGCTTTGCAGAGTCCTGACTGAGGATATTGGATCGTGATCTTGTACCCTAAACACTAGATGGGGTAGAATAAGAGAAGCCACTAGCCGGGGAGGAGTGAGCTTCTGCACGTTGTTAAAAACAGCCAGTCTCTGGAATCAGAATGGGGCTGAGGACAGCGTGATGCATTTGAGTTAGAAGGAAGAGTTTGAGGGAAAACAAGGGCTCCGTCAAGTTTATGCCTCTTGGCCCATTGGCATCTGTATCCCATGCCCACAGTTCCCACGCTGCACACCAAGGCACCCTAGGGTGCCAGAGGGAATGGGGAACTCTGTGCCATTTTTAAATTTCAAGGGTATTTTTAAATCAGTGAAATCAGTCAGACCCTATGCAAACTACCACTGCAAGTTGTATGGACATAAAACTATTCAAAAAATGGAACTGTACATAACTTTTGGCCTGGGGTGGGGAGGTGGGGAATAAAAATAATTGCTGTGTCACCCAGAACATGAGGACTGAGAAAGTTTGGGAATCTGTCCTATGTAAAGGCATGTATCGTGAAAGTGGTGTTGGGACTGGTGGGGGCAGGGGGTTCCTTAAGCTTAGGACCCTCCTCTCTGCACCTGCACTCAGCTGTCTTCAATTCCTCTCGCAGTGTTTGGCATGCAGAACAATCTGGCCCCCAGCTCTGCCACCCTGTCCCATGGCGCGGCTACCACCTCCGCAGGTCAGTAGCTGAGGTTTGGAGCTTAGGGCTGGGAAGTAACACCTCTGTGCAGCTATAACTCACAATATTCCTTTTCAACAACTGAATCCAAGGGACAAAGATGTTCCTAAAAATCAATCGACCTTTCCTGCCAAAGAAACAGCCCCACCCCCACCCTAGAGATGCTAACCTCTATCATTCACTGGCTCAGATGTGTGAAACCACAGGGGAGCATTGCTGTGGGTGTCACCTGTGTGTCCCCATGACTCACTGCAAATCAGCCATCTGGCTGACTGCATGGTTTACTGCCTGTGCACACGTCGGGGAGGTGGACAGAAGAGGCGTGTCAGCCCTGGCCCTCCACTTCCTTACCATTTAGTTGGAGTGGAAAGTACAGTAAACGTGCAATGGTTGGGGGATTCTGTAAGACGACATGAATGACATTGTGCAGAGTAGGTGTGAGGGTTGTAGGGCTCAGAAGGGAAGGTGATGTGGGAGGGTCTAGGAAGAGTTCATGGAAACGATGACCTTGACACCTGCCCTAGAAGGATGAGAATTATACCGCAGAAAGTTCCATTGCTGCCCCCATAGCTCAAGAGAGTGGACGTCGTTATTCATTGTTCTTCATTTCATTATTCATTCATTATTATTGTCTTCCTCTCACGTGGGGAGGCTGTCTGTCTGCCAGGACCAGTCAGGCTGCTTCAAAGTTATATGGAGCTGCCCTCCCACCCTGGTCCCACTTACTCAGTGGTTCTCTCTTGCAGCGTATGGTATGAAGAAAAACATCCCCCAGGGCCCTGCCACGGTGAGCACTGGTGTGTCCACCTCTGCCGGTGAGTGCTGTCCCCAGCTGCCAAGGAGAATTGCCGTGTGGTGACAAGTCAGGCAGGAGGGGGGGTATAACCCATTGTATTCTAAGGCCCGAAAATGGGCCTCTCTGTTATTTCCAGAATTGAGCAGAGATGAGCATCTCCCTAACTTTACCTTGACCTTTCTGTCCAAGGGGTGCACGAAGCTCCACACACCTGCCTAGAGTCAGACATTTACACCCCAGCTTCCACCTTCGTCTGGAAGCCCCTGTCCTGTTCCTGTTACATGTCACCCACTGCAAGGAACCGGTCAAAGCTGCCATACCCTTCCTGCTTTCTATAGAATCTTTAGCAACTTGGGCTCACAGCACAGGGTTGGCTATTCCCTCCGTTGCTCTGCTGACGCCAGCGTGTTTCCCTCCAAACACTGTTCTAAGTGCATGGACCACAGACATAAGCAGAGCAGGCCAGGTTCCTGCCCTCCCCAGGCTGACAGTTGCCATGGAGGCAGATAAACATGTAGACAAAGGACACAAAAGCAATTTGAAGGAAAGAATATGTGAGGTGGTAGAAAAGGTGATGTGTGTATATTAGATGGGGTAGTGAAGAAAAAAAAACAGGATGCTAACATGAGACCTGAAGGATAGACACAAACCCACCAAGTTTAAGAAGGGTCTGTCTGAGAAAGGGACATTTGTCCATTCACTAAAGATCCTATAACATCCAGGTGAAAGACAGCCACAAGCCAGCTACCCAGTACTTCTCACATGAACCCAACCTCATCACTAGGCTCAGCCAAGCAGGGGAGGTTGTCTTTGGTCCCCAAAATGCTTCTTAGCAGCCACTGTCAGAGAGACCAAGACCCTTGGACACACACCCTAATCTCTCTTTTCCTCCTCCCTCTTCTCTTCCTGCTCCTTCCTCTTCTGGTCATTTCTTCCCTCGGCCTTCTCCTGGCACCTTTTCCTTCCTCCTCACCCACTCCCCTCTCTAGCCTGTACCACAAGTGTCCAGAATGATGACCTTTTGCACAAGGACTGTAAATTCCTGATCCTCGAGAAAGAAAACGTGCCTGCCAAGAAGGAGGTGGAGCTGCTGATCATGAACAAGGACAGTGGAAAGGTCTTCACTGCCTCCCCTGCCAGCATCGCTGCAAGTATGTGGGAGCCCTAGTGACTCGGGTTTCAGAAGCCTGGCAGGCAGTGCAGAAGACCAAATGTCCAAGCAAGGTGGTCTGAGATGCTTTGATAGTGAAAGCACAGTCATTCATTTAAACTTTTAAAAAAAGGTCTGCCTTAATAGGTTGTTCCCAGGGTCCACCTTGAATGCAGACAGGCCAGGAAAGTTCTGGAAAAGAGCTCTCAGAGGGGTCTTTGGGCAACAACAAGACTCCCACTCACAAACACAGAAGGGGGAATTAACCCCAGGAAAGCTGGATCCTCTTCCTACCAGGCTAACTGCTACTTCCCCAAAGGGGATGGGATGTGGAATGTGGCTGGAGAGTGGGGAGAGAATATCCTGGATTGTCATGGGTTGTGCACACAGCTTCCTTTTCAGAGGACACCCTGAAAAAGGAAAAGCAAGCTGCCTACACCGTTGACACCAACCTGATCTCAGAAACTAATGGTAAGATCAAATCTGATCGCTGTCCACCCTGCCTTCAGCTGATCCACATTTCATTTATTCATCTGTCTCCTGAGACCTCACTCCCCAGAGTGGGATTCCTGGACCAGCAGCCATGGCAACACCTGGGAGCGTGTTACAGATGCAGACTCCTAGGCCTTAGCCCTGGCCTGCTGAGTGAGAGGCTGCATTTTAACAGCTTCCAGTCGACTTGTATGTGCACAGTATTGAGTCAAAAGCTTTCCCATGATATGAGTAAGGTCTACAGTGGTATTTTTTTCTCAGTAAACTCATCCTCCCCTAATTTTTAGAACTAATAGAAAAATGCTTTGCAAAGCACTTGCTAGCTTTATTTTTTTCTTCCCAAATATCTGGATCCTCTCCTAGTTAAATACATTGCTTCACTGCTCTGTGTCCTGAACAATCTCTCCAAATCCCTAATTTCAGAGTGGTCAGTAAAGGAAGGAAAAATATGCTATAGAACATTTTTTTAAGATTTTTTAAAATTTATTTTTAGAGAGAGGAAGACATGGGAGAAAGGGAGAGAGACATCAATGTGTGGTTGCCTCTTGAGCACCCCCCAGTGGGAACCTGGCCTGCCTCCCAGGCACGTGCCCTGACTGGGAATGGAACCAGTAACCCTTTGGTTCACAGGCCGGAACTCAGTCCACTGAGCCACACCAGCCACGGCCCATAGAACACTTTTAGATAAATGCAAATGGACTCAGCCACTGTCCTTACCATGCTAACTCTGAGTCTTCTAAGTTAGCAGTTCCTTACATTTTAGGGATGAAAATGGGGCAGTGGAGCCAAAAGACCCTTTTAGAATCAGATGAGAGCTATACACAGTCTTCCCAGAAAATTCTACACATGCCCACGACACTCAATGGTCACATCACATCAGGAACTCACGAACAGCCCTCCTCCCAGCCCATCCTTTCTGTCGGGTTCCTTCCACTGCAGGTTAAGAACTTGCATTCAAAGTCCCTTAACCAAAAAAAAAAAAATTAGGAGTCATTTCTCACAAGCACTTTAATTGTTTGAAAGCAAGGTCACCTAACGTGATCTTCTGAAAATGTCTTGGGCTTTAAAGTTTCAGGTTACACAAGGGTTATGACACTGCCTTTTCCCACCACTGATGGTTTGCCAAGCTACCTCTGCATCAGTGTAATTACTGTAATTACTCGAGGTGCCTGGGGGTGGGGATGGGGGCATATCTATCTAAAGCCCTGCCCAAACTCTACACATAGGCTGTCCTGTGGGCTGCTCACATTTAAGCACTCAGGCCAAAACCTCTGTTCCCGGTGTTTGTCTTTCAGGAGACTTGAAGACGGTGTCCACCAAGGGCAAGACGGCCTCTGCAGGTAGGTGATACCGGAGGGTCCTGCAGTGACGGAAGCCCGTGAGGCCGGTTATGATGAATGCAACAGATAAGGCCCCCTAGCCTGGAGCCCGTGCACACCTGAGTGACCCAACTCTGAAGAGTGTCCCTGAAGGCTTCAGGGGAGCAAAGTGGAAGGCAGTGGAGAGGGCAGGCCGGTTAGAGCTGGCTGCAGAAGCTTAGTTCAGGGGCTGTTGCTCACAGCACACCCACGCTCACCCCCAGGCACCAGCTATCTGCCCTCAGGTGCAGGGTCTCCCCACAGGACAGGAGCAACACAGCAGGGCCGCCGCTGTCTTATTCCCCTAACCCCCCAACACACAGAGGCTTCAAGGCAACACTGATTCACATGTCTCCAATCTTTACACTCTCCTCTCTTCCTCCTGTGGCCTCATAAGAAAGGCAGAGCAAGGCTTAGCACCCCATCTCAGATACTAAACACCAAAACAGTTTTGTAAAAAGAGAAAAGAAAATGTACTGGGTACCCTGTGAGTGCTGAGTGTAATTCTAGGCACTTGGGAATTACAAAGAAAGAGTGGTGAATACTGAGACATGGGGATGGGAATGCCTCTGATTTGGGCTTAATAAAATGCAGGAGGTGGCAGCAGATCAAAGTTTATAATCCAGATTTTTTAAAGATTTTATTTATTTTTAGAGAGAGAGGAAGGGAAGGAGAAAGCAGAGAGAAACAATAGTGTTGGTTTCCTCTTATGCACCCCCTACTGGGGACCTAGCCTACAACCCAGGCATGTGCCCTGACTAGGAATCAAACCAGTGACCCTTTGGTTCACAGGCCCATGCTCAATCCACTGAGTTATACCAGCCAGGGCCATAATCAAGATTTTTAAATCTGGCTGTCTGTTTTATATCCTCTGCTAATTACCCCCATGCCTCTCATTTCATTCTACAACTTAAGGCCAGGATAGTCAGACTTCTGCTCTTCTTCACCAGCCATGGCCCAGTGTTCGTTCATTCCAGGGCCCAGCCTCATTCTTCACTGAGCTACACAGGAACCTGAGAGACCCACTTATGCTCACTCGGGCCCAAAAGTCACCAAAACCCAGAAAATTTAGAGGGAATAGAGCTAGAGCCACCCGCATTCATCCTACCCTTTCCCCTCTCTTCCACAGAAATGTATGGCTACGACCGACAGAACGGTGTCAGTGGCGCTAAAGGTGGCGGCGGCAGAGGAGGTGTGGGCGGAGGTGTTGGCGGAGGTCCGTTGGCGGCGGCACCAGCCTGGTGCCCCTGCGGCTCCTGCTGCAGCTGGTGGAAGTGGCTGCTGGGCCTGCTGCTCACCTGGCTGCTGCTCCTGGGGCTGCTCTTCGGCCTCATTGCTCTGGGTATGTGGCCCGGCTGCCCATTCAATGGGCAAGGATTGGGGCTAAGGGGTCAGACACTGTAGGTGCAGATGAGAAAAATGAGGCTCCAGGAGACACCTGGTGAAGGTCCCAAGGCCACCTAGTGGCAGAGCTGGAATTCTAATGCCACTGTCTATCCTCCCACCCCACCCCCACCCCCACCCCAGGCTTCTGGTTCTGCAGCCTGGCTGCCCTGAGTCGTCAGGCCATGCGTTCTCCCAGCATTCCTGCCCTCCAGGCCCTGTGGGGTTCACCCCAGCTCCCAGGGAGAGTGAGGGCCAGCATTTTCACCATCTCAGATGAGAAGACCCACCCCTGGGCCAGGTTTCGCTAAGGCTCAGTGATAATTTTGAGTGGCTAAAACCTCTGGTAGCCATAAGCATTCCAGCAAAAGGTCCCAGGGCCAGTGGCATGAAGAAGCTGCCACAGACCCCAGAGCACCCAGCTGAGGCCCCCAGTGGGGAGTGAGTGTGCACTGGGAGGGCGCTGGCCCTGTCCCTGGGCTGACACTCCCTGATGTGGTCCAGGGGAGGAGGTGAGGAAGCTGAAAGCTCGCGTGGAAGAGCTGGAGCGAATGCGAAGCAGAATGCAGCTGTATGAGAAGATGGAGAGGGGGAACACAGGCGAGCTGCAGGGGGAGGCGCCCAGCACAGGCACAGGCGTGGGCACGTCTGGCCTGAACGGCTACGGTCAGGAGGAGCTGTGGCATTTCATGAGGAAAAGGCTGATGATGGAACAGGAAAACGGTGAGCTCAGGGGCTAGCACACTCCCTCCACTCTCAGTCCTCTCCATAGTCTAGGGAGGGAGGGAGGAAAACTGACACCTGGAGACAACTGCCCAGCATCACACAGCTGGCACATTCTAGAATCTGACCACTAGTCCTAGCTTCGGTTTCTGCCCCATCCCCTGCACCCCACAGATCCTGCACACGTGTGTGTGCACAGATGTGTGGCCAACTCCGGTTTTCTGTCTCCCACAGGCAACCTCCTAGGAAGCCCTGGCCCTAAAGGTACTGCGGTAAACTGAGCCCTTTCCCCTCATTTCTTGAACTTGGAGCTGTGTTTTCTGGGTGGATTGGAAAACTTTTTCTCCAAACTCTGAAGGACGAACAGTGGAGAAATCTTACAGTATCTGTTGGGAAGGTTGAGAATTGGCTTTACAGTCAGACTGTCTCAGAACAGGAAGGGACTGAAGGCCTCCTCTAAGAGGGGCCCAGTGGTGTGCCAAATGGCACAGTTGGTGACTGAGAGGAACCCACACCCCACACCAGCTCCCCTTGAAGTGCCGCTCCCCTGCTGTCAGCTGGTCTTAAACACTGTCCTTGGGTTCTCACCGCATTCACAGTCTTCTCGTCTTTCTTATTTTAGGTGACATGGGAAGTCAAGGCCCTAAAGGTAACTTTTACTGTGACTATTAGTGAGGTCGATGGTGTGAAGCAATCAGCAGGTGTCAGAGAGCCCACCCCTCACTCTCCCGGTCACCTGCCCCACCCTGACCCCATGGTGGTAGGACCGTGAATTGGGGAGCAGCCTGCAGACCCTTGTTCTCTCTGGGGCAGGGGCTTCATGCCAGAGCAGGGTCTACATCCCTGTTCTTCACCCCTCTCAGGGGACTCCCAGAACACAGGCCTCAGGTGGCCTGTGTCAAGAGCCTGCCTCTCCCCCAGCTCCACAAGGCAGCCTGAGGGCCTACTACTACACACCCCCGCCCCCTGCCGGGACCCCTTGGATTTCTAGAAGTCCAGATTCCTGGGCCCTGCCAAAAATGAGAAGTTCCTGAGGCAGAGCTCTGGGGCTAAACTGCCCCCTCCCCTCAGGTTTTAATCCTGATGAGTCAGGTCAGGAACCACCATTCCAGGTGAGCCAGCTGCTCCCTGGGTCTTAGCTGAGGGAGGCTGGGAATAAGACCCAGCAGCCAGGGACTGAGCTCCAGGGGGGCACCCAGTAGGAACACCTGCCTTCAGGGGGTGTGCAGGGCATAGTCACAGGAGCAGGTACACCACAGTTGGGGGATGATCTCATGCTAATGTGTGTAGTGCACACTTATGTGCTGTAAGAAATTGATGTACTTCTTTAGAAAAGTGGTTTGACAACCAATGGGACAGGCCCTTGGATGGGCAGAAGAGGTCCCAGGGACCCTTGATGAAGCCGTGTGGGTGTCACAAACTTCAGTGTGTGTGAGAATTGACAAAAGATTCTGAGCTCTTCCTTCCAGAGCCACTGATTCGGCAGGTATAGGTGGGTGGGGCCAGGGGCCTGCAGTCTTGATCTCCCCAGGTTGCTCTGAGGCCAAGGGTGCAGTTTATTCTGAGAATCACTGTTTAAGGTAACAGGGTAGCCTCTGAGCTTCACCTCTATTCCCGAGATCCCTGTGCAGGAATCGGGGTTCCTCCACTTCGTGGTCCTCTTCACTTCAGGATCCCCTACCCCCATCCACACACCCTGGGTCACCACCCCAGCCCCCCTTCCCCACACCTTCCTGACCATGCTGGGGTAGGACTGGTGATCCTGGGGACCCTGAGCCAGCAGGTGCGGTACAATACGGGATACCCAGTCAAATTCAAATTACAGGCAAACTACAGATGATATTTCACTGTATGTCCCAAGTATCACATGTAACATACTCATACTAAAAATGTATTTGATGTTTTTCTGCAATTCAGACTTAACTGAGTACCCTGTATTTTTATTTGCTACATTTGGCAATCCTACCTGAATCCCACCTGGTGGCTCCTTTAGGTAGTGGCCCAGGCCTTGTGGCTGATCTCTCTCTCTCATCTCTGTCCCCACAGGAGATCGAGGGCTCCCTGGGACCCCAGGTATGTAACCTCTGATGGTGTGGCTGGTATCATGGGCTGCTCAGTCCCAGCTCCCAAATTCTGGGAGGAAAACAGAGCTGAGGGATTTTCATGCATCCACAGGTATCCCTGGGCTCTTGGGACACCAAGGTCCAGAAGGACCAAAGGGACAAAAAGGCAGCATGGGTAAGAGCCGCTTTTCTCCCTTCCTTCCTTCCTTCCTTCCTTCCTTCCTTCCTTCCTTCCTTCCTTCCTTCCTTCCTTCCTTCCCTCCCTCCCTCCCTCCCTCCCTTCCTTCCTTCCTTCCTTCCCTCCAAAAGCATTTCTTAAGTGCCTGCTGTGTGCCAGGCCATTTTTCAGCACCGGGGAGACATCAGTAAACACAACAGATAACCCCCTGCTCATGTTTGAGTGGGGGAGAAAGACAACAGAATGTTTAATAAGTAAAGTAGTAACAGAGTAGGAGGTGGTTCGGAATAGGCAAGACAGAGGCTGGCAGGACCCTGGGAGTCCCGAGGGGGCCGTCAGGAAAGGCCTCTCACCATGAAGGTGCTGTTTGAGCAAACACTTGAAGCTGGTAAGGGAGCCTGGCTTGAGATCTTGGGGAAGACATTTCAGGCAGAGGGAGCAACCACAGGCCCAGGGGCGAGGGTGTGCCCACTGGTCAGGGAGCAATGCGGACAAGGAGGAGGAGGTGGAGGCCTCAGCTGGAACCCAGGAGTCAGGCAGAGGGTCCAGAGTGAGGGCAAGGTGTGAGGCTGACCAGGCCCTGGAGGTCTTTGTAAAGACTTCTCCCAGTGAGGTGAGAAGCCACTTGCTAGTTTGGGGCAGGGGTGGGACATGATGATCCTCTCCATCCTCTTGCATTTTCAAAGGGGTGCTCTGGTTTCTGGGTTGAGCCTAGACATCAGGAGGCAAGGGGAGGTGCAGCACAGAGACTCCAGGCAGGCGTCCTGCCAGCGAGATGCTGCCTGTGGAGCCCGCAGCTCTGGCTCAGGGTCCCAACTCTGAAACAGCCATTTCTGTTTCTAGGAGAGCCTGGCTTGGAGGGACCTGTGGGCCAGAGAGGGCGCGAAGGCCCCATGGGACCTCGTGGTGAACCAGGGCCACCTGGGTTTGGAGAGAAAGGGGAAAGAGGTAAGAGGTGATCCCTTCCCCAGGAGGATCGGCTACATCCATGCTTCCTTCTTCCATCTCCCTCCCTCCCCCTCCCTCCTTTCACTAGCATTTGCTGGGCACCTTGAGCCAGAGTCTGCACCAGCCTGGTGGGGACAGGCTGGCTGGTTCAGGCTTCAGATGAAGAACTGTGCTGAGCTCAGAATGCATGGAGAATGTGGTCACAGGGAGAAAGGGGTCTCCCCGTGTGGGGCAGGGAGGAGTCAGGGCTGAGATGAAGAGTTTGTGGCAGGGCCTGATGGAAGGCGGAGTGGGGCTCAGGCCCTCGGGCCTCTCTTGGCTGGAACTAGTCAGGGAAGGGGGCATGGAAAGCCCCAGGCCCAGGCCCAGGCCCAGCCCAGGAGGGGCCTAGGAGACTTTCCAGTTAGATTTTTCACACGAATCTGTTTTTATCAAGAAAAACCAAGTACAGACACCAGAAATTCTCTCAATGCCAACAGATTATGAGCAAGAAGCTTTATTTTTAGCTTCCCTTTCTCTTAAAAATATTACCGAAGAAGGCAACAAGTGTTTATCGAGTACCTCAGGTGCCAGACATGGAGCATAAAGGCTCTGAGGGTAGAAGGTGTTCTGCTGACCTGTGGTCTCAGGGAGGCACCAAGTGGGTCAGAGGTTACCGGCAGGGAGGGAGCCATCCCTTAATGACACTGCCAGCCCGGGTGGGCAACCACACTGGGGGACTCTCTCAGAGTGCTCATTTCTCCCCAGGGCTTGCTGGTGAGGTGGGCGTTCCAGGCCCACCGGGTGTCCCAGGTTTTGTGGGTCCCAAAGGTAAGTCAAGGCCCCAGGATGGTCCCCAAGTTTACTCTGCCCAAAATGGACCACAGAGGTCCAGGTGCTGGGATGCCAGGTGGCCGCCACCCCCTATCCCAGGCTTGTGAAGGGGCAATGGGACCTGAGAGGGTCCCCACAAAGGAGTGCCTGGGGGTCAGGATGGGGCTGGTTTTGGCTGCAGGGTGGATTTGGGGCTGCGTTTTCATCTATTTTCAATGGTGCCATTATGTGGACCCTAAGTGAATAGATAGAAGTCAGACAATTTCCCCACCTGTCTGCACGCACTGGGGCCCAGGCGCACACACTCTGAAGCAACCTGTCTGAATGACCGGGAGGATGGGCCTTCCCTGTTTGATGCCTCTCCTCCTTCCCCCGCCCCAGCCCAGATGTTTCCCTCTGACTAGGAAGGAGCAGGGGTCCCGTGATCCCACCAGCCTCAGCTTCCTCCCTGAGGAAGACCTGGCACTGGACTTAGGTCATCTTGGACCCACTGGCTCTGGGGTCCTGACAAGAACCCATACCTTGCGGGGGCAGATGTCCCTGGCCTGCACCCAACCCTTCTGATTATTGTCATTTTGTCATCCTTCCCAGGTGCCAGTGGTTCTCCTGGCCCACAGGGCCCACCAGGTCAGTGCACTGCTTCTTCCTATTAATACATGCTATTCTGGGGAAAGAAAGGGATGCTAAAAAGAAAAACAAACACCTCTTAAGCAAAAGAAGCAATTGTAAAGAGAGCCTGGGGGCACCAAATGCACATCCGCACTGTGTCTCCTGCTGCTGAGGTTGGGAGCTGATGGGCCCTGTGGAGCCACTCTGGCCGCCCCGGCAGCAGGCTGCTCCTCCCTGCCCTGCAGTGCCTGCCTCCGCCTCATCCCTGGGGCCAAGGCTCGTCCTGCTGTCTTGGGAATCTCAAGCTACAGCCCATGTTGTAATGCAGGTCAAGGTCCCTGCCAGGGTCCCAAACTTGTCCTTATGACTAGGGCCTGCTAATCACAGGGGCAAAGGACCTGCACCAGGACGATGTAGAGGGGACATGGGGTGGAGTCTGCAGAGAGCAGCCCTTGGTTTTTACTCCTGAGTGTGTGTGTGTACCTGGGTGTGTGCCTGCGTGTGTCTCTGTGTGCACATGTCCGTCCCTTCCAAAGCCACAGCACTCACCTGCCTGCGTGGTCTCCTCTACCTGCAGGCCCTGTAGGTCTCCAAGGGCTCCGAGGTGAAGCAGGGAGCCCCGGGGTCAAAGGTAAGCTTGTGGGGAGCAGCTGGGAAAGGTGTCACCCTGTAGGTGCTGGTCACTCAGGAGGAAGGTCTTGGGGGGGGACAGAGGGTCAGATGGACACAGACAACAGCCTGTGCAGGCTGATGGAAACATGAGGAGACAGGGAAGTCAGGGTGGTGGGGTGGGGGTGCCTGTCTTCGCACACAGACACACCCTTCTTGGTCCTCCTCACCCAGGCTCTTCATACCAACTTGTCCATTGCTTTTTCAGGTGACAGAGGACCTATGGGACCACCAGGGCCCAAAGGTATGTTGCTCCTACTCCTCCTCAGACATCACCAGAGCCTGCCTGACTCCCAGGAACCCAAATGTGACTCAGGCCCCGGTACCCGGGAGCACACATGGCTTCAGCTTCTGGACCCTGGGGCTAGGAGGGATGTGCCTGCCAGATGGAGAAACTGGGGCACAATGGGGGGCTACAAAGCACCACCATCATAGCACTCGGGGTGGTAAGGGCGCAGCATCGAGGACCTCCTGTGCCCACAGTGCTCATTGTATGACAGCAGAGTCTGGGCTCAGTTTGTGAGGACATCAAAGTTCCCCTTGGGCTTCACAGGGGACATGTTCCCTGCAAAGATTCTGCTGACAGTAGCTTCCATGTAAATGAGAACCATTCAGCAGCAAGGCTCCCTACACCTAGGTGGGAATGTTTTCCTTGCTATTTACTGATGCTTCCTGTCCACCCCATCCCCCCCACCATGTTTTGTTTTAGGTGACCAGGGTGAGAAAGGACCCCGAGGCCTCACAGGTCAGTCCTACATGGGAATCCATATTGATTATTTAAAGACTTTCCATAGGTCTGTTAGGCACTGGGGTGGGGGCAACACACAGAAGTATGAGAGAGAATCTCCATCCACTTCAGAAAACTTGCAGTCTAGCAAAAGGCAGATGAGATAAAGCCTGGACCGCAGTGTAAACCAGCATCAAGATGTAGAGTCCAGACAGCGTATGTTTGGGGCAGAAAAGGAAGTTGTGATTGTCACTGATTCTTTTGGGGAATCAGTTGACAAAATTAAGCTCTTTCCAGAGTAGCAGAAAGTTGGCGCTACTTGTCCCCCTTCTTCCATTCACCTCCTGCCAACTTGCATGATTTAAAAGGAAATTAGTAGTAATGGTACTTTGGATATAAGGGGTAACTCTCTGTTAGCAAGGAAATAAGACTCGTACACATGCAACTTCAGCCCAGGTGTGGCTCCGGGCAGTCTATGCCTGCTGCCCAGGTGGCCCTGACCATAGAATCTAAGCAGACACTGTGTCCCCAATCTGTTTGGCACCCCAAGCTCATCTGGTTGGGAAGTGGCAGGCTTGGGGATGGGCAGGGAGGGTGCAACATTCTCCCATTATTAAGGATGCAAAGCTTGAAAGCTTCCAGCCAGCTAGTCCACTTCCTTTGCAGGTGAACCGGGCTTGAAAGGTCTGCCTGGTGCTATGGGCGAGCCTGGAGCTAAAGGAGCAATGGGTGAGTGTCCCAGGGGAGCGAATGCAGCAAGTCTGCTCCACTCTGGCGTCATCATGGCTGTAGAGCTGAGATCCTTCTAGGGCTACCTCTCCTGGTCTCTGACCTGCCCACCCTTCTAGTGGCTCTAGTCACAGGCCATCGGGGGCCTGCACATCTCTCCTGGGGTTCAGAGAGCAGCAGTCACCTATCTGGGTTTCTCACTGCTCTGGGGGAGACTTGGCAAGCCTTGGCCTCCGCCCTGGTTCCTGCCCCCAAGCCACTTGGGCCTCTGGGGTGGGCAGGCAGTGTGGGAGTACTCCGGGATCTGAAGTATTCCAGACATACCTGTGACATCCCAGGGCCGGTCTCACAGCCAGATCCAGGGTTCATCCTAATGCTGACCCTCACCAGGGGGCCTGTCAGCCAGGACATGGAGCTGGTTCCCCCAAGGAACCTCAGAGGGCCAGGCATTTAGCACCAAGTCCCAGAAGCGCTTAAGCCCTTCCAATGGGGTATGTGACCTACTCACTTTCTCATTCATTTAACAAAATGTTAGGAAGTACTCACTCTGCGCTGGGCAAGTAAGATGCTTCACCTCCCACAAGGGGGGATAAAACCCATATAAAGTGACAAGTGTCATGAAAGGTACAGAGTGCAAGGAGGATAGAGTGGAGAGAGAGCTTTCTTCCCGCCAGGAAGGTGAAGGAGGTAGCATTTCGGATTGTCCTAAAAAGTAGGGAAGATGTTGATCAAGATTAACTTGGAAAATTCCATGAGAAACAACATAAGAAAGGAAAGGCAGAGAGGTAGGGAAAAGCAAGACATAGTCCCAGAAGGACCTCTGAGAAGGTCGGATCATCGGAGCAGAGGAAACAAGAACTTGGAAGACCCTGACTTCTAGGGCCTTGAGTACAGGAGGCCGGCCTTTGTTGGGCATCCGGTGTGTGCGGAGTCCTGCCAAGGGCACTGGAGGTCAACAGGGAGCCAGGGAGCTGTTCTTAACAGGAGAGTGGACGGCTCCTGGTTCCGGATGAGAGGGCAGGGAGAAAGCTGCATCCAGGGGGTGCAACAGAGACTGGGCTCTTTCTGCTTTTGCCGGCCTTGGGAAGGACCCATGGGCTCCCCACCTGGGAGACAACATCATATGAACCTGACGGGCAGCAGAGGGGGGCGTCCAAGAACAGCTCTGGGAGTTGCTGATGAGCTGTGGTTCTGTTTTCCTAGGACCGGCGGGCCCTGATGGACACCAAGGCCCAAGAGGTTGGTCACTGATCGGCTCTCCTCACCCTCACTGCCTCCCCCGCCTGCTACGTGCTGACCTGCCCATGTCCCCAAGTCACAGTGCCCGGGGTGGGGGTGGGGGGGAGATGTGTCATGTAGAAACACACAAAGCAGGGTCTTATTAGCCTTCTCCGCCCCACCTGCCTGCGAGTTACTCAGTAAAACCCCAAGAAAGCCTCAGCAGAAGGCTGGTTCAGCTTCCCCAGAAGGAAGACATTCACACATTGGTCATATTCTCTCCAGGTGAACAAGGCCTCACAGGGATGCCCGGAACCCGAGGCCCCCCAGGACCTTCGGGAGACCCAGGAAAGCCAGGTAACAGCTGGAAGAGGGAGCCAGAGCCCTGCTCTGTGAGTGTGTGCAGGCATGTGCAGGCGTGTGTGTGCGTGCCTTATATCATTCTCCTCCAGCAGCGCAGCAGGGAACCACAACTGCTGGCTTGTGCTATGTGCAGGGGCAGTGTGTCTTGATTCCTGAGTCCCCACGTCTGGCAACTGGGAAGAGAGAGCTTAATGGTTAAAAGCAAGGAGCTGTAGAAAGGGGCAAGGACTCTTCTTTAAAACTGCAGAGTTTAACACCACTTCAGTACCTTGCTCCTCTGAGCCTTCCCCTCTGGTCCACCTCCTCTCGGACTGAGCCTGGACCCTCACTAATTCCTGCCAGTCTGATGAGAGAGGCCATTGTTAGCATCTCCATCGAAGGCCCGACAGGAGCAAGATCCTCAGGGCTGCAGCAGAAGCAAATCAGAACACGCCAAGGAAGCTGAGAGGGGCAAAGCCTTCTTTGGCGGGCAGGGATGAGCAGGGTCCTCCTGGCTGCTTTTTTCGGTGCACAGTTTGGGAGTACCACGCAGGGGGTCTGGGGGTAACCTGATGGCTCAGTTAGAGTGTGAGTTTTCTGGGTTCATGGCTCTCAGGTACCAGTGGGTCTGTGACCCCAAGAGGCTGAGGAACCATCGCCCGATGGAGCAGTGGGTCACTTCACTGCTAAGTCCAGGAACTGCTCTTGGTCCAGTGCTGGGAGGACCCTGGAGTCTGGCTGCCCCAGACTCAGAGCTGGTCCTCCTGCCCCACCAATCCCACCTGCTCCTGCAGCTGAGGGTGTGGCTTCTCAACCCTTCAACCCTCCTCTTCTGTGTTTTGTTTCCCGTAGGCCTCACAGGACCCCCAGGACCTCCAGGTGAGTCACTGGGTCACTCCCACTTCCAAACATCACCCACAAAGCCCCCCATTCCAGCCTTCCAGCATTCCGCAAATGCCTGTCCTCCGATCACCTTGAGTTTCCTCATCCCCTCCTCTCAGTCTCCCAGAGAACATAGGTTTGAGTCCTTTTACTGTGAGTCTTGAGAAGTTTGAGGAAGGAAAAATATTCACAGAACAACCTAGAAAGCCATTCTGGTAGAAATGAAGTTAGCTCATGTGCCAATTCTGCCTGCCTGAGCCCTGCTCCCCTCCGGCCCAGGGCGCAGGAGTTGCACTGGCCCTGCATGGCTCCCGGCCCCATCAGCGAGAGAGGGAGGGGGAGCTCACCTCACGGGTTCTCTGGGACAGCCCAGGGGTCAGAGTCTGTCGTGTGGTTGGGCCTGTGTGCACTGTCGCCACGCCCGACCCCAACTACTAACGCAAACTAGGCAAAGATGTAGAATGAAGTCAAGCAGCATATTCCCCCTAGCGATGAGGGCACAGGGACCCCTTCGGGGGCTCCCTGGTGGAGTTGAGCAGACAAAAGCAGCAGCTGCAGGAAGCCTACCACTGCCCCCCAACTCTGCAGGGTCAGATGGGAACAGCAGCTGCTTTGCAGGCTGGAGGAGGGCAGGGATCCCCTAAAGCTGAGTCCCTGGGCCTCCGTCTCCCTCAAGCCCCACTGTTGCCCTGTTTCCCAGAGAAGCAAAAGGGCTCAGAACAAGAGGATCCCCTAGAAGCACCTCCGCTAGAGCAGAAGGCAAATCCAGGCAGGTCTCTGGGTTGCCACCAGTAATAGTGGCTCTGTAGGTCACAGGCAGGAGCACTTGTCACTATCAGAGGGTGTTTGGACTCACTGGGCCAGAATTGTCCTGACTACCTTGTTTTTAATCACATCAGGACTTCCTGGAACTCCCGGCCAACCAGGGACTAAAGGTAAGTGATTTTCCAAATTTCATTTTCTTTCTTTTCACAAGTCATTTTTTTTTTTTTTTTTTTTGAGGGAAGAAAAGGATTGGCTGGAGGGAAGCCCCCCTCTGGGCAGAGCCTGGATCAACAGTGGCATCTAGTGGCTTGAGTGCAAGGCTGGAGGCTGGGGAGTCAGATGGTGCTAAGCCCCAACCCTGCCCCACACACCTCCCTGGAGCCTCACGTGGTACCTGCACGCCTCCAGGCCATTGTTGGAGGAGGAGCTGGAGGCTGCTGCTCCTGCCCCCAGAAGCTCTTCCATCCCCTGACCTCCCACTAGTGCTCAACCCCCTCGCTTAAGCTTGGTGCCCTGTGACATGACTCTCCCCCGCTGGGAACCACCTTACTTTATCAGTCACATGGGGGCTTTAATGCAGGCAGTGGGAAGAGTCTTAAGAGGCTGCTGGGAAGCGCCGACCCGCATCGGGTGGACCCGGGGGCCAGCCAAGTGATCCCTATGTGTAGATGGAACTCTCCAGTTCCGCACCATCAGGCCCCAACCCTGAGCCAGTCCAGGGGTAACTGTCTGTGCTCAGGGACGGTCTTCCTCCTCCCGCCCCTGCGACCGCACATCCTTGAACCCTGACGGGCGGTGCAGCTGCGCTCTGTCATGACCAGCCACTGTCACCTTGGAAGGACCCAAGGAACAAAATAAATACTTTTTAAAAACTATTTCCAAGGACTGGTCAGACCAAGGCGTTCTTTTAGGACAAATGAATGTAATTCAGAATAACAACAACTGAGTTCACATGTGGCAGACAGAACTCTGGGCCCATAGATGGTGGATCGCTGGCACCTTTAGTGAGACACGTAGGTTTGGAGACTCCCAAGAACACCTGGCACCCTGCCCTCCCAGGGCCCATGACCTCCTGTCCACAGGGGAATTGGGACCCTCCCGGGACAATGTGCACAAAAGGTGGACATTTTACTTAATACCAGCTGCGTTCCAATGAAATGAACTCAAGTACTTTCTCCTCTCTTGACCTTGACTGCCAGGGGCTGGTGAATGACAAGCGGAGACCAGCCCTCCACTTCCCCTGACAGGGGCTCATGCTGCTGCCCTCTGACCTCTCAGTACTTCTCCCACTTAAGCCTGTCCCCAAGAAGATCCCGAGCCACCTGCTGTGGGAGAAGTGTAGGAGTGGGAGTGACTGTACAGTCAGCCTTATCCCAGCCTCACTGGAAGGCAAACTCTTTGACATTCACCTTCAGGGAGTCCTAGCTTCTTCCCAAAGCTAATGTGAGCCAAGAAGATTGATGTTCCAGCTTCCAGGGTCTCCAATGCAGAGACTGGTGCTTGAAGTGTCCTGAACATGCCCCTCAGTTCATTAAAATGCCATTAGCCTGCAGGTTAAAGGCCCAGGAGTGGGTCTCAAATGTAATCAGACGCCTTGGAAATGACTTCCTGGGCCACTAATTGATCCTGGAAACAACCACTCTCCTTTTCCTCCCCTCCCAGGTGAACCAGGAGCTGCAGGCAAGATCATCAGTGCAGGTAGGCAGGCCCTGTGCTGTGCGCTCTCAGACCCAGGCATCTGCCCCGGTTCTGCCTTCACACCCTCAGGAAGCACCAGTCCGTGGACATGGTGCTATGGGCAGGATGCAGTGTGGGCGGGGCTTTTCGAGTCGGCAGCAAGGTTCGGGGTGGAGGGGGGTTAGTTTTGAAGCAATGAGAGCAAGAGGCACTGAGTCAGCCTGGGCTGAGGTCCCAGTGCCTCTGAGCCAGAAGAGTGGGGTTCAGTGCTCCATGTGTCTTCATTTTGCAGAGGGGTCATCGACTCTCACTGTCCCAGGTCCTCCAGGACCTCCTGGACCCATGGGACCCCCAGGACCTCCAGGTATCCCAGGTCAGTCTGTTTCCTTGCTTCGCTCCCAAATCAGCAGCAGGCCTAGGTTACATTTGACTAGGCCAGTGTCGACTCAAATTCCGAAACCCAGGGTAGGACCTGGGGGGTGGGGGCAGGGGCAGGGAGAGTAAGCCCACTCCCAGGCAGCCCTGCACAGGCCTCCCTTCTCCGGGCCCCACAGCACTGTGAGGGGCTCCAGCTTGTAAATGACTTGCCCAAGGTGGCTCAGCTAAGACGCAGCAGAGCCGGGATTTGGCCCAAGCCCTTCTGCCTCCAGAGCCAGTGTGTGAGGGGTTAGAGCCCTCGGTCTTTGAACCATTTCCTCCTGGAAAACAACTGGATAACAGGCATCAAGGGCAACAAAAATGCCAGGGATCTATTTGAAGAAAATATCCCCAAATTGTCCAACGAAAATGAAATTGTTACAAAAATATGAGGACTTAAAAGAAAGTTGTTAGTAGACAATAATGTTATTTAAAAGAGTAGAATGTTCATTAAGTGTGCTGTGTGGTTGCAACAATATTTTTACAAGATGCAAGAAATGCTGGGAAGAAATAAAATGTTACAAGTTAAAGAATTATGGGTGATACTTTTCTCCTGTCTTTCCAAAAGGCCTGTTTATTTTGCTGCCTAGATGGGTTTGAACAGGGCAGGTTCACTTTTACACAACATTTCCCAATGAATATATTGGACCTTTTTTGGGAAATTTGTGGCCACCTGAAAAAACTCACAAACAAACCTTGTGCTTTTCTTAATAACATTTTCTTTCCTCTGGCTTGCTTTATTGTACGAATATAGTTATAGAATACATATGACGTATAAAGTATGTGTTAATTGACCGTTACTGGTAAGGCTTCCAATCAACAGCAGGTTCTTAGTATAGTTTTTTGGAAAGTGAAAAGTTATATGCAAATTTTCAACTACGCAAAGGTTCAGATTCCCTGACCCCCATGTTGTTCAAGGGTCAACTGTGTCTATTCTTTAATTATTAAAAAAATGTTCACATGTGAATGAAATGCATGGTTTAACAAGACCAGTGCAAGTGCAGACCAGCCTTTCCTCCTGATAAGCTCTAGTGAGTCGGGGACAATGGGAGTGTTCCAAAGTCCCTCGTCACTGAAGAGCAGTGTCCAAGAGGCCAGTCTGGCCGTCCCAGGGGCCCGAACCTGGCAGAGGAACCGTCGCCCGAATGGGCCTGCAGGCTGGCCTCCAACTGCACACTGCTCTCCAGTGAGCAAGCTGACCTCTGGGCCACTGTTCTGTGGCTCGCGAGGAAGCTGCGTGTGCGCCCTGGACTTGCGTTTCCCTCAGCACTTCCTAGAACTGTGACCCTAGAGATGTGACAACGCCCTTTCTTCCCCAACCCCATTTCCAGGCCCTATTGGCCCAGCTGGTCTTCCAGGACAGCAAGGTATGTCATGGCTGAAAGGTTGCACGACTGCGGCCTCAGTCGGGAGGGCTTCCTTCCCGGGTGGGACTTGGGCCCCAGTCTGTAAATGAAGCGAGAGATGTGTCTTTGGGGTGTTGGGGGTGGGGAAGGGGGTGACAGTTCTGCATCGAGGGCTTTGGGAAGCCTCAGCTGCAAGAGGAGACACCTGCTCTCACCCCCTTCCTTGTCTCCGAGAAAGCAGGCAGGGGTCCACCGCACAGGGGATTGAAGCTCTGTGGCCACCGGGTCAGGATCAAGCTCAGCTATGTTCGCAGGCCTCGGGCCTCTTGTGACTAGACCCTAATAGTTGTGCTACCACTTAGAGACTAAAAGAAAAACAGTCAGGTTTGGGAAAAGCCCATGCACTCCTCCTGGGGTGTGTCTCCCCAGCAGGAAAGTGTGCAGCCACTCTCTGGCCTGCCATGCCCCAGGCACCTGGGCTGCTGGGCCAACCACTCTAACTCCATGTCTCCCCATAGGCCCACGAGGGGAGCGAGGACTCGCTGGGGAATCGTTCGTCAGCAGCACCTCCATCTCCGAGGTCCTCTCTGCTCGTGAGTGCCCCATGTTCTCCAGGGCAGGTGATGTAGGGGTGGGAGTGGAAGAGAGGTCAGCACCCTGGGGCCTGTGGTAGCTACGCCAGTGTGTCATCCAGAGCCCCAGATGTGGGTGAGGATGGCCAGTTCCTCTGCAATGCAATGCCAGGCAAGACTGAACAGCAAGGGCTTTGTCAGCTGCAGGGGGTGATTCACAGGGGATGGGGAAGCTGTCAGAGAGGTTCTCAGACTCCAGGGGCCCAGGGTCACACAGGGCCTCTGGGGGACCCAGACACTGTTAGTGTTGCTGGCAAGAGGACTGCCTCCCCCACCTGCTGGGAACAGTGACAAGGGTCTGTGGGATCTCAGCCTCAGGCTTGACCTGGGAGGACAGTTTCCCGGATCCTTGTTCTTTGAAGAGCCCGGGCAGAGAGGATGCTGGGCCTCTACCTCAGCACCTGAGCACCTGGCCAGCCCTGGTCCAGCGGTCACACGCGCCAGACACGATGCCGTGGCATCTCACTGAGTCTTTACAAGGCCCCTGTGACACAGGTCTTATGCCTCTGGTTTACAGAGGAGGAAGCTGTTGCTGACAAAGGTTGAGAACTGGCCAAAGTCATCAGCCAGAGGTGGTGGAGCAGGGATTTGAACTCAGGCTCTGTGACACTGAAGCCATGTTCTTACCCATCACTCAAACTCCCCGAGAGTTTGACTTTAGCCCTGCCCTGCCTCTGAGCAAGGGCACTCCTAGCAGAGGGGGTGCTTGAGGGTCATGTGCCATGACCCAGGGCCTGATGTGTGGGGTGTAAGTATAGCGTGTGGTGCTTGACACTGATGATCTTGGCGAGGGGAGAAGGTGGTGGAAAGCAGCCTCACATCAGCTTTTGCTCATTTGTTTCCTTCTCTCTATAGAGGGTGTTGATTTACGAGGTCCTCCAGGCCCACCTGGACCACCTGGGCCACCAGGTGAGCATCTCAGGGACCTTTGGAAGGAGGGGAACCGTGGGGCACAGGAGGACTCAAGGACTTAGTGAGGAAGCCAGGTCCTGCTCCTGGGTTTGGCATTGCCCCTTCCTCACTCTCTTCTGCAGGACCTTCCACTCCAGGCCCACCACAACCCCGAGGCCCAGCAGGGGGAGGCACAAGACAGTGGGTCCAGAGCTCAGGCTTCTTCTGGGCTGGCCCTGGGAAAAGGGCTTTCCCACTGCTTCTCCTGAGCAGAGGGTTCGTGGCCCAGTTCTTGGCATTAATTAATCTTGTGGGTTCTCTTCTTTAGGGAAAGGCTTGCCAGGTCCACCAGGCCCACCAGGATCTCTCCTGGCCAACTCAGGTAATGTGGAGTCAAGTCACACCTGTTCTCCACCTCAGCCCTAACGCCGGTACCTTCCATGGCCACAGGCATTCGGTCTTCCTGACCTACTACCTTGCTTCCTCCTCACTTTCCACCAGGGTGTGGTCACATAAATTCCATGCCACCTGCTCCATGTACAGAGGGTAAATGATGATAACCCAGCCACCTGATATCCTACCTGAGGGAGGGAGCCAGTTCTGCCCTTGGAGAGATCCGGGCTGACTGGCAACACCTGGTTCCTGTCCTTGGGTAGCCCGGGTCTCATGAAGTAGGCAGGACACACATATATGAAATGAGATAAGTGCTGACAATGCAACATAGAAACATATGGCAGTAGCTTTAGAGCAAATAACCCAGAAGTACCCCCTTGTAGAAAATTCATCCATCCATTTATTCATTTATCCACTCATTCATGTAACCATTTATCCTCCATCAATCCATCCATCCATCCATCTACCCGCCCAAGCATCCACTTGTCTATCTACTTCTATCTACTCATCCATCCATATAACCAACCATTTGATAAATATTGATCAAGAATCTGCAGTGTGATGACTGCTGTGTTAGGTGCTGCTGCCTCACAGAATCATTGCGTCCACACTCAAAACTATTTCTTTCCTCTGCAGAGAACTTCTTCTCCGGCCCTCCAGGCCCACCTGGTCCCCGAGGCCCTAAAGGTGACAGAGGTCAGTGAGAGAGTGGCCATGGAGGCAGTGAGGAGTAGGAGTAATGCTGGCTCCCAAAGCCTGACTCAGACCGACATGTACTTATTGGTGCTAAAGCCTGTGGGGAAGAAGAGAGGGAAGAACTGAGCGGCTGGAGGGAGGACGGTGTGGGGATGTGGGGACATCCCTGCCCAAAGGGAGCTCATGGTGTCACTGCAGAGACAGAGACAGGAAGTCATTGTTGAGCCACGTGCAGATAAGGGGAGGTGACGCGAACAGTGCTTCTCATTTTGGATTCCAGGTGATCCCGGATTCCCTGGCACTGCTGGTGGTCCCTCTCAAGGTAAGTACCGTAGGTGACCAAAGTTCCTCTCCCCTTCTTCAAGCAAGTCTGATCATGCTAATGAGAACAACAATTCATTCATTCATTCATTCATTCATTTCTCCATGATTCAGTGTTGATTAGGTACTTTCCACATGCTAGGATCTCTGAGGGGCCTTAAGGAGTTTCCATGTTAGTGGGGGCAGGAGGGAAGAACCCCCACATGTAAAGATGACTAAAAATGCCAGTGACGGAAGGTGGAGACAGAGCAGGCCCTGGGAGCCGGGTGCAGGGGGTGGTGGCTGGTGGTGTGCAGAGGGAGACCCGAGGCAGTGAGCCAGCTGCCGAAGGAGAGGAGGAGGGTCTGGCCTGGAGAGCTCTCATTGCCAGGCCCCTCGCAGACAGCGGCTGCTGCAGGCACTCCTGTCCTCTTTTGGGAGGGCCCCTTCTCTTTGCCACTGTCCTCTTTGTTCCACTGAGGAAGACCCCCATCCCCAGACTGTGGGAGCAGTGCCTGGGCCCCTCGTTTGGACCCTACGGCAGAGAACCCAGCTCGGAGGCCTTCCCTTCTTCCAGGGGGATCATCATCCAGCACCATGTTCATGCCGGGCCTGCCAGGCCCACCGGGGCCCCCTGGGCCTCCGGGCTCCATCAGCAGCTCGGGCCTGGAGATTCAGCAGTACATCTCTGAGTACATGCAGAGTAAGTGTGGGGTCCGGCAGGGTGTGCGTGTGCACGTCTGTGCGTGTGCACGTCTGTGCTGGAGGTCAGTGTCTGTACGGCCAGGCCCAGGCCTTCCTCCCCTGCAGCCAGGACAGCAGGTCCGTGAGCTCCTGCCGTCCAGCTGCCCACACAGATGACTTCAGCCTCACCCCTGTGGAGACTCACACACCCACACCCTTGTCCACATGCATACACAGATACACACTCACGCTCTCACGGGTGCACTCCCCCGACCCCATCCCTGTGCTCTTCATGGATGTGTGTGATTCCCACAAATGTGGGCACCAGAGATCTGTCCAATGGGTGGCTGACTAGAGTCTTCTTGTTGGTCCACAGCCCTCCAGTACTTCCTGACCCAACATATTCCTTGGTTTCTCCATGTATAACAAGACATCTGGCTCCCTGCTGGCCCTGCCTTGGGCCTGTGTGGAGTTGGGGCAGGTGCTTCATCAAGTACTTCAGGTCCCCTCCATGAGGAGGACGTGCCCACTTGGGGACATGCTTGACCTTGCTTTATTTCTTTGTTGGCAGGCGACAATGTTAGGTCTTATCTCTCTGGAGTTCAGGGTCCCCCAGGCCCTCCTGGGCCTCCCGGGCCTGTCACCACCATCGGGGGTGAGACTTTCAACTACGCAGAGCTGGCAAGCCTCGTCGTGAGCTACCTACAGAGTAAGCCTCTCCTGTGGCCCAAACGGCCCTTCCGCCCAGGCTGCACTTCTGTTCCTCGAGTCTCATCTCCCCGTTTGCTGTTGGCTTTTCCTTCTTCTCAGTGTGATGTTCAAATCTGAACTCCTGGTGATCGGGTCTCAAAAAGGGCTTGCTCAGATGAAGGGACACTGCAAAGCCATGTTTAGTGAGCCCTCTGGCTGTGTGTGACAAATGCGTCCTAGATAAGGGAAGAGGGATCCTTTGGGCTGGCAAGGTCTCTGAGGACTTAGACTAAAGCATGTTCCCCAAAACACACTCACTTCTTATCAAACAAGAACAAAAAAAATGCTTGACATTTTCATGCTTTAAAAATAGCCTCCTGACGCTCCTTTCATTCATTTCCGGAATGGAAGCAGCCAGTTGCCCAGGTCTTTGTGACTCTGGGGCAACGGGGTGTTGCTTCAGTGCAATAGGCAGGTAACCCGGGTTTCCCTCCTGACAGCTTCAGGGCACAGCATCAGCTCGTCCGTCACTTCCGAAAACATCTTGGCTGTGCTACAGCGTGAGTCTCCCGCAGTGGGCTGGCGGCGGGCCCTTTGCCTTCTCCTGACTGCCCTTGTCAGGCTCACCTTGTCCCTCGGAGCTTCGTGAGGGCTGCACAGGGGAGGGAGGCCTTCAGGACAAGGAGCCATTCCCTCACTCCTCCCAACCACTGACTGGAAAGGGGGCAGCAGGGCCCCCCCGCCCAGTGTCAGCCAGCCAGGCAGGCGCCCCTCCAGATACCGATGAGCTTGCTGGATCCCCCGTGGGCCTGAGACCTAGAGCCACACTCGTCACTCACCAGCCAGTCTGTGTGGGGGGACCAGGCTCTGGCTGTCCCGGAGCCTGGGTGGGTCCATGCTAACACACCCTTTCCTTTCAGGTGATGACATGCGTCAGTATCTACGTCAGTACCTCGTGGGACCCCCGGGGCCCCCAGGGCCACCAGGGCCACCAGGAGCCGGTGGAGATTGGTCCCTCCAGTCTTTGGACTACACAGAGCTGAGCAATCGCATCCTCAGCTACATGTCGAGTGAGTGTCTGTCTTTTGCAGGCTAGGGCGGTCAGGAGGGCCCTGGATGAGGACATGGGGGCTGAACCTCCCCAAAACGGCCCACGGACCCTCTCCTGCCAGGCTCCACCAAACCCAGAGGGAGTAGGCTACCTGCAGAGCTATTCAAACCCGTGACCCCAAAGCAGGTCAAGGAGCTGGGCCAGGGAAGCCAGAATGAGTGTCTTATGCACCATCCTGTACAGAACTGTCACACACCTCACGCACATTCCCTATACACACACTCACACATACACACTTCCTTACACAAATTTGTACAGACAAAACACACATGCACACTTCTCTATGCACACTCTATACACATATGCACACCTCTATACACACGTCTCTATACACACCACTCACTTCTCTGTACACACACTTCTCTATACACACACACTTCTCTATACACAACACACACACTGCTCTGTACACACACTTCACACATACACACTATACACACATGCACATACTCCACTCTGTGTACACAAGCACACCCAGCAGGATGAAGGTGCAGGCCCTTTTTGGACCTCTGCTTTTCCAGGGACCTGGGGCCCCTCCTCCTTGGCGGGGTTACCCAAGATTGTCTCTCTGTGTCCCTCTCTCTGCCAGTCCCTTCCTGATGCCTCTCTCTTCCCCTTCTTGCCCCCACTTCCATTCACATTGCTTCTGTCTGGCTTCCTCTTACGGGGGGTTTCCCACTGCCTTTCCCTATCTGGTCTAAATCTATCACAATTTGGGATTTTGTTCCTCAGGTTCTGGAATCAGCATTGGTCTTCCTGGCCCCCCGGGCCCCCCCGGCTTGCCAGGAACATCCTATGAGGACCTCCTCTCCTTGCTCCAAGGTAAGGCTGAGCAGGGAACACCTGTCCAAGCGATTTGAGATGGAAGGCAGAGCCCCTCGGTCTGGACCACAACCAACTCCCTGCTTTTCCTTGGTATGTCAGGATCTGAATTCAGAGGCATCGTTGGGCCCCCAGGCCCCCCTGGGCCACCAGGGGTCCCAGGCAATGCGTGGTCCAGCATCAGCATGGAGGATCTCTCTTCTTACTTGCATAGTAAGACATGGGGAGCGGGGTGAGGGCAGAGGACTGCAGCCTGGACTTGGGAGCTCCGGGTTTTAGTAAGGGCAGCTGTGGCGTTAAATCCGTTTACCTGTTCCCCAGTCCTCCTGCAGCATGTACAGGGCTGGGCCCTGGGGCCCTGGGGCCCTGGGGAGGGACGTGCGAGCTTTGAGGTGCTTTTAGCCTAGCAACAGGCGAAGTGGGGAGAGACAGTGCGCCCCGGTGTAGCCCTCAGAGAACTCCACGAACCAATGAGTATGGCACCAGTGTGATCAGGAGCCAGGGCAGGGTTCCCACTCCCAGAGGCGGGGAGGACATGACCTGGGTTGAACGTGGCTCAGAACTGGGAGTGGGATGGCCAGTCATTCCCTGGTGGTGCTCTGGGTGTCAGCTGCTCCCTCCTCATCCCCCTCCTCTGCAGAAGGCACCACCTGGGGCCCTGGGTGGGAAATTCGGTGTTCTCAGCAGGGCCATCTCTGATCTCTTGCTTTTGCCTCCCGCTCAGCTGCTGGCTTGTCCTCCATCCCAGGCCCCCCAGGTCCTCCGGGCCCCCCAGGCCCTCGAGGGCCTCAGGGTGTCTCAGGAGCACTGGCAGCCCACGCGGCTGAGAACACCGACAGCTTCCGGAGTGAACTGATCAGCTACCTGACGAGTAGGTGCCCCTAACATGGCTGTTGCTCATAGGCCCTTTCCCGGGCCTTGCTTCTCTCTGGGAGGGGAGCAAAAGGCAAAGGACCCCGAGAGACCAGTATGTGAATGCCACCAGCCAGGGAAAGCCCAGGGGCTTCCCAGCCAGTACAATCCTGTTCACGGACAAGTGCCTTGCAGTTTATTACATACCCGGTTTAGGAGCGTGGAGACCCCGAGACAGGTCTTAACCCACTTCTTCCTCTCCACCCAGACCTGCGCTCCCACTCACGCAGCTCCCCTCCACAGGTCCTGATGTGCGCAGCTTCATCGTGGGCCCCCCAGGCCCTCCTGGGCCCCAGGGACCGCCTGGAGACAGCCGCCTGGGGTCCGCGGATGGCTCCTACAGCCGGAGCAGCAGCTCTTCCCAGAGCTCGTCGGTCAGCCGGGACACGTCCTACAGCTCTTCCATGGGCGTAGGGGGGTCCAGCGGCGGCTCCCTGGGTGAAGGGGGAGGCTTTGGTGCAGACCTTCGCCTGGGCCAAGGCTACGGGACAGCAGGAGGTGGCATGTATGGTGGTGACGGACTGTTCGGGAATGGCCTTGCTGGAGGTCTGGATTACAACGAGCTGGCTGTCCGGGTGTCCGAGAGCTTGCAACGTAAGTCGGGAGACAGTGCTATGGGGGGAGTGGGAGCACGTGAGCATCTCCACATCGGGCCCAGAAACTGCCCCTTGTTTTCGGAGTGCCCAGGCTGGGAGCCCCGCAGCACTGCAGTCAGGACCTTCAGGGACTGAGGACAGGACACCCCAGCCTAATTTTCTCCCTGCTTGGTTCAAGAGGCCCCCAGGCAGGGCTGGAACCTCTGCTGCAGGGGACAGAGAATGCTGGGGTCCCTGTACTTTGCTTTCCACTAACTGGTGTGGGTCTCGGGAGTCTCTGTGACTGCGACAGTTTCTGCTGGGCCTGAGGGGAGGTTGCTGGCTAAGAAGCCCTCCCTCCCTGCAGCTTGTCAGCCAGTTGTGCAGGCAGGGCCTCTGATGACAGCCTGCTGCTCAGGGCCTGGCGCCGCCTCCAACCTAGTCCAGTGCACTGGGCGCTGGCTCCCCACGGTGAAGCGTGTGCCCACACTCCCGTGTTTCACAGGTCAGGGCCTGCTGCAGGGCATGGCCTACACCGTCCAGGGCCCACCGGGCCACCCTGGGCCTCAGGGGCCCCCCGGCATCAGCAAGGTCTTCTCTGCCTACAGCAACGTGACTGAGGACCTCATGGACTTCTTCCGAAGTAAGGGCCTCCCTAGATCGTTTTCCCAGCACGTAACTTGCCGCACAGTCTCCCACGGAGCCTGCTCCACAGAGACCTGTCTCCTAAAAAACCTCATCGCTAACACTCCAGATGCTTCGAATCTGACAGATTCTGAACTTCGTTTTCCTCTTCCAAGCCCAAACTCTACCACTGCCTTAACCTGTGTTACTTTGAACAAATCACTGTATCTGCCAGCTTCGGGGCCACTGCTAGTCTAAGGCCAGTTTTTCCCCTTGCAGCTTATGGAGCCATTCCAGGACCCCCTGGGCAGAAGGGAGACATGGGCTTTCCAGGACTCAAAGGTAGGTGGTGGCAGGCAACAGCCACCGGGATCCTGAAGAGCAGCCCTGTGCCAGTGCTGGGCTGGGCGCTGTGCCACTCCTCCGGGCCCCGGACCCTGCCGTATGCTGCCTCTCTCTCTCTCCTCCTAGGTCAGAGGGGCCCCGCTGGGCCACCTGGCCAGCCTGGGCCACCCGGCCCTCGAGGGCACAAGGGAGAAAAAGGAGACAAAGGTAAGCCTCCACTGCCACAGTTTCTGGAGTGCTGAGAGGAAGATTTGTTCCATAGCAAGCCTGAAAAATCAAGGCAAATGCCAATTACTGAAGGCAGAGCCTGCCAACAACATAATTAGCATAACAATCAGACAGCTGGGGAGAAAGGAAGGCTGGTGCCAATGCAGGGAGGAAGAGGAGAACCAGTCTGGTAATCAAACGGGGTAAACAATTTAAATAAACTGATAGTCTTACAAGGGTTTATCTTTCAAGCCAGTTAAAGGACCCACAGGCCACAAGATATTTTTTGACTTAACTTTCATTTTCTAACTTTCAGGTGACCAAGTCTACGTCGGGCGGAGAAAGAGAAGCATCGCCACCAGGCCATGAGCCGCCCTTGGCGGACCAGCCCTGAGACCAGTTCTTCCCATGGCTTATGGTGCTCTTCGGTCACAACCTCTCTGAAGGGTGAAAGCTGGAGTCCCAATATCCTCCTGACAACAGCATAGCTGAATAATCAACTAGAACACTTCCTGTAGTCTGAAACAATATATGCACACATAAATAATCCAAAGACACACGATCGAGCAGCGTCTCAGGGCAGCCCTGAGCAGCTGCAGCACTGTGGCGTGAGACCGACTCCTCTGCTTTCTAGCCCAGAGCCCTGGGCTGCTTCAGCACTTAGTTCAAGCCTTAACCTAGTGAAGCCAGGTACATAGAAGTTGGCTCGGGAGTCCACGAGCTTTGCCTAAAAATGAGCTCAGAAAAATGGCACATGGGGTGGGAGATGGGGGGGGGGGCACCTGCCTGGGGTTAACACTTGGTGGGGTATGTGCCAGCTAATGCTTTAAAGCTGTGCTATAGGCTCCTTCCTCCCCTGTTCACTCCGCATTCTCTAGGCACAGAAGAGTTGGCTAACAAGCAACTCTTGCAACGGAAAAGTTAGGAAATTCACTTCCTCTGAAGGTGGCAACAGGGTTTCTTTCTAATAGTTATTTCTCTCTACATATCATAGTCCCACTTGCTTAGAAAGTCTGTTTGACTGTCGCTATGACCTGTATCCACTGGACGGCAGCAAATAGAAAAAAGGAGGGCAAGGGGCATGGGAGAGGGGGACAGGGAAATAGCAATCCTGCTGCGGGGACAGATGTCACCTCTGTTCTGCACTTAGGAAACGGCACCGGGTACTGGGCGCAGTTGGTTTTTAAAGCACTTTTCAATGTCTAAAAACATTAATGTGGTCTATTTGATGGAAAGTCATTTCAAATGTAAAATTTCCAATTAAAGGATTTTTTCCCTTTTTTAATATCATGTGTAGTCTGATTCATCTAACCAAAATTAAGGGGGAAAAAAGAAAATACTTTAGGTTTGACTCTGACACTACTGCAAACACAACATTCTGGGCCAGTTTCTGGCATTTTGTTAAATCATTGAGATTGTTAAAGGCAGACCTTTATCTGTAATAATTCAATTTGGGCAATTACAATCCATACACATAAGTCACTTGAAATATACAACAGATGAGCAACAGAATTGTTCTCAATGTAGTGATTTACCCTGGAGCAAAGTAATTATAATTACAGAGCAAGTAATATGGAATACCGAAGTGCCTATGAAGGAAAAACGCACAAATATCAATGCCCCACAAAAATGCAGAGTAAAATCAGACATGCAAATTCAAAAGAGGCTAACTTTTGAATTGGTTACAAACTGTGACAATGGCTGGATAATTTAAAGTGGAGTTAAATGAAATCTTCTGTAACTCCGTTCTTCTAAAAGACTGGATTGCTTATTTCTCAGGTGGCCTCTCCCAGCTATCTCACATACTATCCTGGGGAAAAAACACAGCGCTTAATTCCACAACACCGAGCGACCACTGGCACAACCACCAGCCAAGCACCACACATCCCCCATGGTCTGTTTGCCTCCTTGGTCATATCCCATTAGGACCTGCTCTGAATCAATGTAGGAACTCTAAAAAATGAGTCCAAAAGGCTTTCAGAATTTCAAACGACTTCTTACTTCCTAATGAAAACTCACTGCGTATAATAAATGACTACACTGCACCTTTTTGATGTTTTAGTTTTACCTAAAGTCTGAGTCTCTTTAGTGCTGTAATAGTTTCAAGGGCTCAAGTATTCTATCCCCTTTGATGATACTCACTTGGTTAATCAGTTTTCCCCTCCTTACCTTTCTAAGCTACCCGAAAGTCTCCAGAGTCCTAAAGCCACATGAAATGGGTGAAAGGACAGAACCCAGGGAAAAAATGGGCAGATACGTCCTCAGCTGGATGGCAATGACTCGGAGCCTCTTTTATTTCTATTAAAAAAAAAAATGATTGGGGTTAAGAACGAGCTCGACACTGTACCATGGTCCTGGATTAGAAAGGGACATGCTTTGCCTCTCTCCAGCCAAGAACACTTGCAAAGAATGAGGCTACTTTTAGCAAAAGTGAGGTCATATGGCTTGTGAAATGTTTGGTGAGAGGAATAATATATCCCAAGGGGGGAAAAATAAAAAATATATACATACGTATGTTGGTGGAAATAGGTAAAGCGCCGCTAGTTAAGTCAGAAACAGTCAGCAGACCTGGAGGACTGCAATTGTCCAAACAGAACCAGGACCAAAAAAGCTGCAAGATGTTCTCATCCACGACAATTCAGTTCCAATGGTTCTCAAGGAAAGACGGCTTCTCAACACAGATTAAGAAATAACTTTATTGTTCATTTGTCAATCCCATGATTGAAAAGACACGTTGCTCCCAAGTAGACAAGAGGCATAATCTGAAACAAAGTTCTTTCTGAAAATTTAGCTTGTGAAGTTATCACACTGCAAATCAGAGGATCACAGAAAGCTGCAGCCAACATTTAAAACTGGTGTAACATTCCATCCAAAGCTTAGAAGCAGAAATTTTAAAGCTGTATCGAAACCATGTCAGCCACAGAAAAGCAACAATAGAGGCATTAACTGTTGTGCCCTCAACTTAAGAAAAGCATTTAAAATATCCCATTTCCTATAAAAGACCATTTCCCAGAAAAGAATTGATTTATTTAATCAGAAGACTATTAGAACTAGAACTAACTCTCCTCTTTCACCTCAGTTCTAGGTTTTCCTTTATTCAACACTATCTCTAGCTAATCATTTGACAGAATTTGGCTTCTCAGAAGAGACTTTGTCATTTAAGCACAGTGTGGAATGGGAAAGAGTGTGTAGTTACAAAGAAACTGAAAAGAGTACAAAAGACAGTCACTTCTGAAACTCACGGATACTCGAGAAATCAGAGACCCTCCATTAGAGTGGATCTCATATGCCTGAGAGCTTTGTGCTTAAGGAAACACTACTTAGAGGTAGCTCTGGTTCTGGTTTATATTTAATTACAATTTGCTGTATCCTGTCAGAGGAAAGTTCTAATATTTTCAGCCAAGTATAAGCACTCAATTTCTTCCTTACCCACCCTACAGCTTCCCCATAGAAAAGGGTAAGAAAAAGCTTAATTGTGACTCTGTACAGAATAGCAGCAAATTCAGCAATTCACTCCCAACTATGGATTGACAGGACGAGGAAAGGCAACCCGGTGCAACAAGCTCCGTGAGCTAGACCTGCGGAAGCGTGGCAATCTGGCGTAGTCACAGCACGCAGGGAGAAGGGGGGTGAGCAATCAGGGTACACACGTGAAGAATTTCTTTTACGCATTTCATAGCACATTTTGCCACAGCAAAAATCAGGAATGGATTTGACTGCATTCTTTGATTTGAAAGAAGTCTGCGCCCCTCCCCCACTCCCCACCTACACTTCATGCAAGCAAGATCACTATCATCTGTTGGAATAGAGGGCCTAAGAAGACCTGTGTAGGGACAGGTACAAACAGCACATTCTGTAACAAAACACTTTTTCAAAGTATTTATGTGACTTAAAGTATTAAAATGAATGTTTCGCCTCTGTACGTTATCATTTTATAGTCCTGCACCCACAAGAACACGATACATTTGAAAGAGGACTCAAGCATAAACACTGAATCCCAAGGGCAGTGTTTAGGGAGATATAGCAGTTGAAGAACTAATCAGAGTGTCAACGTTCTACTCTGAGCCTCTTTCCTTTACTCAATACTCTGAACGTCAAGTTGAAAGAAGTAAAAAGACTCGAATATTCAGATCAAATAAGATTATGTGCCACAAACTAGCACTCAAAATATCATTAAAATGGTACTGAAAAAGTCACTGCCTAAAGTATTAAGTTTTGAAAAGCCAATAACCTGAAAATTTCAAAGAAAGTGGTTTGAGAAACTTCCTCTCCTCTCCCTCTTAAAATAAATCATTAAATACACTAAGTAACTTTATACTGTCATTTTTATAATATAAACAATTTCCATCATCATCCTGAATATTACTTTATAAAGATATATTTTTTAAAAGGCTTTCAAAACATTTTTCAACCCAGCATTTGAGAATAAAGCATTAAAGGAGTTTTGTATACAGTAACACATTCATGTGAAAAGTGTATGAATTTACAACCATACATAATATATGTGTGTATATATATATATATATTTATATTTATATAAAAAACAAACTTGGGCAGAAGTTAAGGCTACCTACAAAGTGTCCAAGTAAATTATGCTTGTGAAAACAATCACAAAATGAAAACCACACATGCATTTAAATCATCTAAACCACTGATGAAATAAGGTTCAGTACTCAAAGTTTTCAAATTAACTGCAAGAAAGTGCTACAGATATTTACATTTTCTTAATATGATAAGTGTTCCCACAGTAACATTTAAATTTTCCACCAGCATCAAATGTAACATAACAAAAACTGAAACTTGTACGATTTGGTACCTAGTCCTCTTAGAAGAGAACAGGCTGATGGCAGGCAGCAAGCGTCACTTACAAATGTGCCGTCTCACATGCCACAGTGCAGTTCGTAACACTGTCCAACTGACACAGGCTCGGAATTCTAAGCCGCAAGAGGGACTGAGAGTGCGCATTTCATTAATAATTACACATATCAGCAACCACATGATAAAGGATTCAGGCTTTTCCCACTAAAATCAAAGTAAATAATTTAAACATAGAACAAAATAAAACCAAAATATAAATGACTTTATTTCAAAACAACTAAGTCATTTCCAACATTTGCCTCTTTTAATTTTTTTAAAAAAGCCTCTTTTGAGATCTACTTCAGAAAATACATTTATAAATACAACTCAGAGCCAGCAGGCCTCTGACAGAGTTCCCAATGGGCAGAATTTGCAAAGATGGGGGAAGTCATTTAACCTGCTCCTGAATTATTTTAAAAAATAAGTTGGGATAGCTAACTATTTCTTTGAATTTGTTGAGTTTTACGTTTCCAATGAGAACATCTAAAAGCTACTGTTTTTCCATTATTCCCAATTTTGTACAACATATGTTTTAGAATGAAAATTTCTATCAAATGGTAATAGAAGATTTAAAAAATGATAATACTTAATGCTAAGGATGTTTTGCTGAGTCAAACAAGGAAACCCTTTTTTAGACTCCAAGTTTAGTGTTTTAGGCACTGCCTTAATAAAACTAGCACCCTTGAGTATTAGCTCATGCCTAAACAGACAACTATTTTAGACAGATTACTGAAATAATTTCTCTTGTAAAAGAATTTCTTGCTATTTGAAGATAAAATAGGTGTATTTAATAAATCGGTATCATATTTTGAGCAACTCCTAGCTTTTTTTCATGAGAGCTGATTTACCAGAGAAAGTTATTCCAACTCTCCACAGCAGAGTTTCAACTACAGAATCCAGGCATCATTGAGAAAAACCAGTATTTACTAATATTCAGTGACATAACAGGTTTTTAAAAAAATAACTTTAATCATTCTATCTTTAAGAATTTTTTTAGGTAAGTGTCTAAAGAACACAATTTTTAAGATCAACATACAAGATCACCTTAGGGAACTGCTGCAGGACGCTCTACGCCAGCACGGCCCAGCACCTGCCTCAGTTCCTTTCCCGTCACCTTTGCTAAACAAACACGACGCACACACAAGAACCACCGAGAAGGTGAGCAGATGATTGTCTCCGTGCACCTTCTAATGCAGACTGCGGCAGAAGATGAAGAGAACAAAACGACCTATTTTAAAAGCCAAACCAGACCACAGGACACTTCCCATTGTTATGATCCAGTAGAATGCAAGCTAGGAATAGGGTAGAATTTGGAAATTCGACTCTGCGTTGATGGGTTAAGGCATTCAGACTCCCCGGTCATTTTAAAGAACACTTCCTGTTCCTGCAGTTTCCTGGCAAATTCTTCTTCCAGTGTCTTAAAAAGGA